CGTTACAAACGTGAACCTCGCAATTAATGAAGCCAAGTAGTCTAAACAGAATCATTGTCAACATCGGCAGCAGCTTGAACAAAATCATCATCAACAGCAACGGGATCGTCACCATCAACAGTAACACCACAATCTTCATCAGTAGCAGCAACAGGATCATGATGTATGTTGAACTTTTTTCGCACCGTACGTAGCCAACCGTGCTCATCATTAACAGGAACAGGGGCATAATTATCGGCAGTAGCGGCAACACGCAGCAGCAATGGGATCAAGGTCACAAAGATGCTCATCATTATTATCAACAGCAACGTGATCATCAACACCATTGTCATCAGCAGTGATGGTGCACAATGGCTTCAACAAAAACTTCAACCACAAACTTCGGGCATCTACGAATCACTCAAGTCACCCACGCACCGACCCACGCGCTCACAGACTCGATCACTAACCCACTCACCCACGTACTCTCTCACCCACACAGGCACTCACTCACCGTCGCTGTCAAAGCCTCCGACACACGACACGCTCCTCCTCAAGCCGTGCATCCCACCAGGATGGAGGTGCTGTGCTGCTGAGAGATATTTCACAGCGATAGGCGGTGAGAAATTAGGAGGGAGTGGGGAGTGAATCCGGGAGTTCCAGACGCACACCCAACCACACCTGGCATCCAAAAGTTAGAGCCCACCCCTGCATTGTTGGCTCCATGCATAGCACCTACCCTCCTTTCCAAAGACAACATTCCCCCATGTAACCTTTAACAGGCTATTGGGGACAAGTGCTTTTAGCGAGTACCTCTGAAGGTCAAAACGTCACGTGGGTGGCAATCACCACGCCCGGCGATCTTTGTCTCTCTCGTGTTGCACCAGGAACACATTTGAGGCTGAGTCGACCTTGGGGAGACCCAAATATTCGCCACCGATGCAGGTCGAGAGATGGAATTTAACTCTTGTTCGCTGGGTTCGCAGTGCAGTGTGCTAACCACTGCACCACCGCTCCCAACCCCAGCTCTCACCACACACACACACACCGAGGCATTTGCATGCACGCTGAGCTTAATTGCACGCTGATAAAACATCACGGGTATTAATTACGCATGAAAGAAAATCAACTGCAAGTACACGCCAAAAGCGAGTACAGTCGTTATAAATTCAAACGGTACACGATTAAAGTTTATGGCTGCACAGTAAGCTGCCACGAGACGTTAACTACCTCGCCGGGTAAATGGGATGGTCGTCGGTTCGATCCCGACCCTGGCGCCTGCATAATTGGAGTTTGCGTGTCTCTCTCTCCGTGGTCGAGTGGATTTTTCTTGGGACCGACCGGTTTTTCCCTCCACATTTAGAATCAACACGCGATTAGAATATTTGTCTGCTATACTTTTCCACATAAGCCACTTCTATAATTTGTGGTGAGGACTACTGCGAGGTGACAGACGATTGGTTTGCTTATATTGTAAATGTGTAATGGCAGGGTGCCACCTGTCGGCTTGAAGGGGTAATCGCCGTTATGGGCATGTTACGTCTAATTATGAGGAGGGCGTATCTGGGGTGAAGGTGGGGAGGGGCAGGGTGGGGAGGGTGGGGCTGGGTGGGGGGTGGGAGGGGTGGGGCTGGGTGGGGTGGGGCTGGGTGGGGTGGGGCTGGTGGGGTGGGGCTGGGTGGGGCTGGGTGGGGTGGGGCTGGGTGGGGAGGGGCTGGTCACCCCGTGGTGCCCTTATATGGACTGGAAGCCCAACCGGGATTAATTCACAGGAGGCAGGGGATTAATTGTGTATGTCTGTGGATGTCTGTCCACGTTTATCCGGACACCCGGATATATAACAAATGCGCTCCTAGTTGGCATTACTGGTAGGAGACGTAGTGGACTGGAAGCCCAACCGGGATTCTCACAGGAGGCAGGGGATTAATTGTGGATGTCTGTGGATGTCTGTCCACGTGTATCCGGACATTCGGATATAAAAAATGGGAGGGGTGGGGCTGGGTGGAGAGGGGCTGGGTGGGGAGGGGCTGGGTGAGGAGGGGCTGGGTGGGGGGTGGGAGGGGTGGGGCTGGGTGGGGCTGGGTGGGGCTGGGTGGGGAGGGGCTGGTCACCCCGTGGTGCCCTTATAAAACTCAACGTTTAACCTACTCACGCCGGCTTGTGCCCGCCCTCAGTTGGGCATATTTGCGGAATACACCACGCCACCGTTGACCCTGGCCACTCCGAGCAACCAACGTTCCTACCAGCCCCCTCCGCAGGAATGTGTTTGGAGCAGTGGAAACCGATTACATCATGCTTGATCCATATCATATTGTGGCGTGTTCCTAGCACGGCACGCAAGTGCTCCACTCCATGTTCCGTCAAGCATGATCCATGCCACGTTGTGGTAAGCTCCTGGCAATTATAGAATCGTTGTTTAAACATTGTAGTGATTAGAGGCAGCTTCTAGTGGCTGCAGGGGTTTACATGAGTCCATTACAAACATCAACAAAGAAATTGTTCTCAGAAGCCAGGTATATTATGAGCATACGTATATATTTTAATGCATGATCGGATGCATCTTTAGAGCCCAGGAAAGAACCGAAGAGTATGGAGCCCAGGTGTTGTTTATGTAAGTCTCGTGGAGCCTAGAATTAGAATCGCTGCAGCACATTGCAAAATAATGCAGTTCGCCATGCAACAATGTGAAAGTGATTTAAAGCTTTCGTGACTGCAATAATTCATATTCTTGTTTTATATATTTTATTATTTTATTGTTTCCCTTCAACGTGACTTTACCGAAAGAGCTAAGAAAAATGTGAAAGTGGTAACACGGAAAATAAATTAGGGGGGCAGCTCCGACCGATGCAAATCAATAAACTAAAAACAAGACACGTGCGAAGTCCGCAGAACAATATTTTACTTTTCATCAGAAATGTAGCGGATAAAAAATTATAACGTGATGGCAAAACGTACACTGGCAAAGCAGTGAAATCATCTCGTATGTGTTATTAAGAAACTTTAGATATCTGTAATCGATAAAAAAAAATCCAACATGAAATGTTCAACTCTTACGTTGTCTGTTGAACAGAAAAGTAAACAAAAGAGCTGTAGAGGGTGGTCCAGATATTGTTCTCGAAAACGTTCTTTTTTTCAAAGTAAGGTTTTATTTAAAACATAAATTATTATGCAAAGGGAAAAATGTTAAGGGTCAATTAATTGGAGGCCACAAGACATCTGCACCACCCTGTACACTGTCCTCATAATGCCACCAAACTCATGTGGGGGGGGGGGGGAAATGTCCAGGTATATCCGTTTCCTTAAAAAAAACACATCGTTATTTCCATTAAAACCAACCCATTGCTTTGCACGCGATTCAATTCTTCGTCTTTCAGAGCTGGGGTCGGGTAACCTGAGGGCTCCGGAGCCGCGCATGTGGCGACTCTGCAAGGACTGCTGCTTCGAGAGTTAGTCAGGGCTACCAGTCTCGTATTGACCCCACGGTGCACTGCAGCTCTTGAGGTATTGAGTGATTCTTTTTTTCTTTTAGCAAATTCAAGAAAACTAATTGTTGCCAAGCCCTGTTTCAGAGTGTGACCTTATATTTTTTGAATTTGTTGTCAATGTTCAGCTCCACACCCCCTACCATAATAACCCCACTGTGCCCCCCCTCCACCGTTAAATGCTGCGCACGATATATCTGCCCCCATCTTATTTTGAGGACCACTATCCATATTAAGTGTTGCTCGCAAGCAAAAAAAACCCGCGAGCATAAAATACAATAAAAATTAGTTTTCAATATTATTTTGATACTTACAAAACTGTAAACCGAACATTAACTTACTTTTTTTTAAGTAGCAGCGCAAAAAATATAATTCTTCGCTGTCCCACGTCTCCGGGAAAATCAGGTTGCATTCAACAAAGTCGCTGTATTATTGCATCCGCTTCATGTTGTTGAGAACAAAGTTTGAAGCGGGGTACTGCTCATCAAAGACACACCACCATGCGATCCGCAGTCACGCGCACCGTGAACAATATCGAACAATGCCCTGCCATTGTGCGATAGGCCCACGAGCATCTCAATCACCGGGATTCTCTCTTCTCTGTCGTTGTACTTATTACCGAGCAGTCACGAGCCCGGTTGATGAAGCTCCTCTCTACTGCGTGATTTTGGCTTTGCTACAGAGCGTTTGTACATGCCGTGCTCCCGGCTACATTCGCAATGCTATCCAAGTCAAGCAGCCTCCCTCTGCTCCTCTTCTCTTCCCTACCGCTTGTCCAAGAGTTAAATGTCTCTACAAGGATTCCCCCATTACACTCAGCCCCGTGGAATTCCAAGTAGGATACATTAATCCAGTGAAACGTATACAGGAGGCCGTGGGTTCGATTCTGACCCTGATGCCTGTATATTTGGAGTTTGTATGTTCTCCCCGTGGACGCGTGGATTTTTCTCCAGGTCCTCCGGGTTTTCCATCCACATTTAGAAACATGCATTTAGAGTATTTGGCTGCTATAAATTTCCATATTTGTGGCCAAGTCGATTCTGAAAAAGAGCTACATAGCTCAGTGAGCCTTACCTCGTAAAATAAAATAAATAACGTATGCCTTGTTAGTAACATAAATCTGAATGCATACCCTTGAAATTTTTTTTAATGAGTCTAATGGGAGACATTTTAGGGAGATGTTGTTTCCAAATATTTTTTTCAATGAACCCAGTGTACGTTTGTTAGTCAACAAAGAGAAATATTGAAACCATTGTATAAAAAAGCAGCAAGTGTTTCCCCGTTGGACAATTTCTCCGAATGAGTACACGGCAATATACTCTCCAGATTTGCAATATTCATTCTGCAAGTGCAGCCACATTGTTACAGGTTCTGGGATAGTTAGTATCGTCAGTAATCGCAAAACAATATAACAGATATTCTTGGCTCTTTCGGTAAAGTCACGTTGAAGGGAAACAATAAAATAATAAAATATATATAAAACAATAACATTCTCACGAAACGTCGTGAGAATTGTATTGTTTTATATATATTTCATTATTTCCCTTCAACGTGACTTTACCGAAAGAACCAAGAATATGAATCACTGCAGTCACGAAAGCTTTAAATCAAAATATAACAGATGTTAAAGTAACCCTGGTGGAAAAAAAAACTGGCATCGTTCTATCCACCGGCTCTGTTCTAATTTCGGTTTACAGCAAAATGTGAATGTCAAGTTTCCAAAAGTTAACAATATAATACGAAACGTCATACAAACTGGAGATACGTTTTCGTGGCAATGGAAAAAAGCCACAGAATGCATGCACAAATTACAAAAAAATACCACTTCATCAATACATTTGCATTGCAAAGGATAAATTATAAACTGGCAAATCGTGGCTACATATGGTACAAAAACACAGCCATGCTACATCAAGGCTAAGTTGTCAGCAGACAGGAGCGCAGTGAAATATTTTTCTTTACTCTACGAGATCTGATCTATGCTGTCGGCCTTCACCAACCTGCAGTGACCAGCGTGGTGCAGTGTGGTCAAATGACTCGCACGACCCAAACAGTGTTTGTAGTCCCTAATGGAGCAAAAAGTGCCGTACATGCATGCAAACATGAGATATATCTCGACACACATTCTGTTTGTAATTCCAGTACCACGAAAGTCTAATTTCTGAACAAAAAAATAAGGCATTTCAGATACTACTGCTGAGTTTTATTCACGCCTGTGCTGTATAGCTCTTCGATATGTTTTCGGGTCGTGCCGCGTGTTGTTTGGTACGATGTCCGACGTTTCGCTCCACGTGCCGGTAGCTTTTTCGGGAAGCTTTCCTTCCGGAAGCTCTGGGGGCGTCGTGCTGAACGACAAGCGGTACAACTCCGAAAACGCATCGGAGCGGCTAAGGCATTTCAGACATTGTAAACAGCTTGCAGAAAGTTACTGGGGGGGAGGGGGACGACGACTGTCCACACAAATAAATAATCAAGCGTCGCCTCCCGTGGCCCCGATCCCCGCACCGTCGTCACGAGCGCCGGCGCCGTCGCTGGCGGCAGTGGCGGCGGTGGCGGTGGCGGTAGCGCGCTCGGCGTACGGGGCCACACGTTCGCGGTGCCCTGGGCCAGGGCCGTCGTACGGGGCGGCCGTGCGTCTCAGCAGGAACACTCCGGCGTGCAGGCCGCCCACATTCACCCACACCGTGTGCGCCTTCCGCCACAGGTGACCCATCTGCATCAGCACCTGTGGGACACCGGGGGGGTGGGGGGGGCAAGAGAGTTGTTCGCAGCAGGGAGAACGAATGCTTTGTTCGACATATTCCTTGGCTGTGTGTCCGGTGCTGTACGAGGTGATAAAGCTTCGTTAATGAGAAACGAGACTTTAAAAAGGGGGGGAGGGGAGGTGGGCAGACTCTTTTCTGTATCAAGGACCGAATAGGTCTCACATGGTCAAGATGCCACGCAACGTCATTACGTCTCTTCCTGTGATACTGGCGAGGCCTGCCAGGCACACGCGAATTTTATTTCGTGGCCCACTCGAAAATTAAGTTGAAGAACTCTGCTTGAAGAGTAAAGAAGGGCTTTTATCATCCGGGTAAAAAGCAAGAACTTATAGACTTCATAGTCCACCGCATCACTTGAAATGGGCACCCGATGTGATTACATGTGCACATTTGACTCTGAAAAGAGCATCGGTTGGTCAGCAAAAATGGGTCACCATCCCCTTGGAAGTGTCTGTCACAGGGCATCATTTGGGTGGCGGCCCAGGCAGGTTACCTTGGACATGCATTTCTTGTCTTGCGTGAGGAGGGCCGCGCGCCCCGTGCCAGGCCTGCACACGCGAGCGAGCTCCAGCAAGCACGCCGGGTACAGGTCCCAGTTCCTCCGGCGCGATCCCATCCTACGAGCCAGGCACAGGGAGGGCGATTGTGAAATTTCGCGACGATAAAAGTACGCGATTTATTTTCATTTTGTCCAAAAATAGCTACGAAAGAGTCTCAAGAAGGATTTTTTTTTTATTGGAATGTTTTGGACGGTTCCATTTAAGTGTTTTTTTTTTCATGTATCGTGCGGAAACAAAGCGAGAGTGCCCTGAGAAAATCCACACGCTGCAAGGCGATAACAAACATCTGTGCATGTGGGATTACAAGCAGTTTCTACTGCGCCCTCTCCAAGCCACATTGCTGAAAGCGTGGGGGTTTCAAGTGTGCGGGTCATGCGCCAAACCCTTGCCTTCGCAGTGCTGGATTAAAGCCACGTGTGCCACCACATCTGGCTACAACGAAGTTGCTCCTGGTGGCTGATGAATGGCTCAGTCAGGTAACAGTCAAATTGGCCATCCTGAGCCAGCACATGTGAGATAAATGAGCCCTTTTTTTAATACGACAGTAAAACAAAATAACTGAGAGAAACAATTTCTATATTAATAATAATGCCCCTTTATTTATCAAAGACAATCTGACCAAGTCTTGAGGCTATTTATCAGGATTGATGAGCAATTGGATTGTGCCAGCAAACTGGATTATCCAAAGGAAAGATAACCTCCACATGAGGAGATGTTACGGTATTCAAAGGTGGATTAAACCAATTGCACCATAGCCATTGGCCTGGCTAATTCGACAGCTATGAGCACTATGAGCCTACACCACCTGGTGTTTCCCTGGCAGTCTCCCATCTAAGCAGTCACCATTCTCATCGCTGCTTATCTTCAGAGATCTGACAAGACTGGGTGCTTTCAATGTGATTTGGTCATTTATATTCGACTAAAACCTTTGGCACAATATAAAAAAAAACGATATATTTAGTTGTCTTTATTTAAAAAAAAATTTCCGAGCTTTCTCCGAGCTTACATTTACAAGCAAATTTCTTACACTGACACGCTAATCTCTCTTACATTGGCACGCTAATCTCTCTTACATTGGCACGCTAATCTCTCTTACATTGGCACGCTAATCTCTCTTACACTGACACGCTAATCTCTCTTACACTGACACGCTAATCTCTCTTACACTGGCACGCTAATCTCTCTTACATTGGCACGCTAATCTCTCTAACACTGACACGCTAATCTCTCTTACACTGGCACGCTAATCTCTCTTACATTGGCACGCTCATTTCTCACGATACAATGGCCACCCCCACAGCTTCGTTTGTCAAGATTTCTCTGATCTTTCATTTACATGCAAATTTAATCTCTAGCCCCGCCCGCTGACCCTTGGGCTACACCCATCCCAAACCTTTATAACTCCCTGCCTTAGCAGCGCCACCACCATATATTCTCAGCAGCTCTCCGGCTATATTTTTCACCTGATGACGATTGCTTATGTTGCGATCGAAACGTCGTGATATTGTTATTATTATTTTTTTAATTATTTGTTCTATCTACGTGGCTTTACCGAAAGACCCAGAGAATATGAATTTCTGCAGTCACGAAAGTTTTAAGTCAAGAAAAAAAAATTTGGCTCAAATAAACGGTTTATTTTCAGTGAAATGGTTTATATTCACGTGAAAAAAGTGACCACCATCTCCATGATGAATTCGCGTAAAACCTCATCCTAAACGAGACTGCTCAAGCGCAGCGAATGAGGCCACCCAAGCGCACTCGTAAGCACGCAAAAAAATCAATCAACCAGAGTGTACGTGTGAGCAAACACAGCAGCCCGATTGAAAACAACGGAGTTGACTGAATCTCAGAATCAGAATATTTATACTGCTGGAGGAATCCGATGAGCTATAAAGCTCTTTATCGCAGCTGGCCAGTTGGGGCGGGTCAGAACGTTACAACAGCGACAACTCACCGAGGCCCCGTGGCCACTCGATCCCACCCCTCTCCCCCTCGTACCTCTTTCCGAACGGCATGTCGGTGACACAGGCGTCCACGGAGGCCGTTTTGAGCGGCAGGCGGCACACGTCCCACTGCACAATGTCGACGGGAAGGCTTCTTCCCCTGAAACGGCACGTGATTTAAATGGTCGTTGCAATGTACAACACGCGTAGAAAAATGGGTACTGATGTGATGACCTTGCGTCCAACCATAACCTCTCTCAGCTGACGCTCGCTACCTGCACAGGAACGTCAACTATGGCACTTGGGTCAACCCCTCCCCACCTCTTTCCCTTCCCCCATCTTCCCTTGTATGTTAGTCATCTTCTCCCTTACCTTCCCCCCATAGAAAGTTTCACTTCTCTGCTAGAGGCTCCCCACCTGGGTGGGGCAGAGAGCCCAATCCCACCCCTCTTCACCAAGCCCGGCCGCGTCGATCTCGAGGCTTTTGTTTGCGGGATTTATGCCCCCCCCCCACTCCTCCGCCCCCTTCTTGTTCTGTGATCGGTGCTGTGCACCGTGCTCGTGGTGATTTTAAAAATAAATAAATAAAACTATGCCACTTGGGGTGCGTGCCTCGCCTCCCCTTTGGTTGACCCTGCCCACCAGGTTCTCCGTGCTAGCGCAGACGACCCGGAGCGTCACGTTCATTCTATTCGACCAGGTGAGAGCTCGAGAGACGAGGATAGACGAATTTGTATGAGTGACCGGAGAACCTTGTGGGTGGAGCAACAGAAGGGTTGAAGGGTCAGCCACAGGCCTGAGTGGCTGCACCAAACCGAACGTGACCGCCGGGACTCGGGGATAGGGAGGGCCTTTGCCCCAGAGCGCATCGTAGCATTCCCAAAGTGCTGTAGTTGGCTTTCCCCGAGCATGCAGGTAGCAAACCTGATCTTAATATCCGGCAGGAAATCAGCAATAGCGACCTCCGATTAGCACGGTTGGCTACGTACGGTGTGAAAGAAGTTCAACAAACATACAAATGTAAAGGACTGCACTGCAAAAATGCGGGGTGTTCTAGAAAACGCTACTGTGGCCAATCAGTAGGCCTAGCCTGATCTCTGACGTCAACTCTATACGTTCCCATTTTCCCCCCACACACGTTAAAAGCGCATCCATTAACCACACGGCCATTGGGACCAAAACTCTTTGGACTGGCCAAGGCGGCGGTATTCTCCGCAGAGAAGCGAACGCACCCGCTGTTCCGCTTGCTGTTGAGGTGGTTGACGTTGTTGACGGAGCGGTTGGTGGCCATCGGAAAGCTGTCGCCGCCGATGTGGAAACTCCGGGGCCACTCCATGCCACACTGCGGCGTCACGCGCGTACACTCCCCTCGGTGACTCGCTCGCGGCCACCAACGTGAACATCATTACACAATACGACGTGGGTTTATAACAAGTCAAAGTGTTTGCGCGCTGTATGTCGTGGGAGGGGGCATGTGCTAGGAAGCAGCCGAGTGTGGATGACACGGGCACTGATGAAAGGAATGAAACCTCCCCCCCCACACCCACTCCATCCAACGTCCGCCCCCCTCTCTTCGTAGGCCAGGTTCTGGGCCGCTCTTGTCTGTGGACCCCGGTGCAGTTGCACTGCCTAGACACTCGATAGCTATGGCACTGACACTAGGAGAAGGGTGATGACGCAGAGGGCAGTAAAGGGGGGAGGGTAGGTAGGAATTCGAGGGGAAAGTGTTATTAGAGAAGTGACGAGTCAAAGGCAGTCAAAGAGAGAGGGGGACGGGAAGGTTCTAAACCAGGGGACGTAGTCGGAAAGACAGGACGACTCGGGGAGCTACTTCCAGACAGCAGGGCGGCACGAGAGGAGCGATCGATCACAATAGTGAGGTTGGCAGTGGCTTTTACAAACAGGAGTCTATAAAAAAGACTTGAGAGAGATGAAGTGGGCGAGGTATGTGTGTATGTTGAACTTCTTTCCAACCGTACGAAGCCAAATGTGCTCATTGGAGGTGCAGGGAAGGACAACAATAGAATCCAAGACCTTGAAAATGCAAAGGGTGACCGTTGTAACTGACCCAACATTACATTGCGAGTCAAAGAGGAGTCGGAGGATAGGAGTGATGTGATCTCGCTTGCGGGCACGAGTGGCGTTGTGTGTCACTGCACTGAATGGTTATTAAGGGGACAGATTCCAAGTAGTTTCTACGCTCGGTGACAGCGTGCCATCGTACCTCCACAGGTATGGCTCCTGTGCCACACATCGGGTCAATGATTATATCACCAGGCTGCGGGCTGCAAAGTCTGTAAAATAACAAACGCATCGGGTAACAAGAACATTCGCTTATACACCTGCCAATTATGATCAAGTAAAGCATATACCAATAATGAGTGTTTGAAAACCAGAATACCTGGAGAAAACCCACACGATGGAGATGGTAACAATTAACACTGCCACCACTTGGCTACCATGCTGCCCCATGCCTACAACACCTGACAAGGCCAGATGGTTACCCATACAAGTACTGACCAGGCTCCACTCTGCTTAGTTTTCTAGATCCTATCAGATCAGGCACACCAAAGGTGATTTTAGGCATAACAAGTTCATGTCAATTTCCCGCTGTGCTTATTAAAATCTCATCTGAAAAGTAAAAACTCACTTTATAATTTGCATACGCAGAAGATAGGCTGTATTCTTTGGGTCTTTTGGTAAGGTCACGTAGATAGGTTCAAATAACAAAAAATAACAAAAAACTACGACGTTTCGATCGCAACACAAGCGGTCGTCATCAGGAAAAAGGGTGATGACGGACCGCTTGTGTTGCGATCGAAACGTCGTAGTTTTTGTTATTTTCTTTGAGCCTATCTACGTGACCTTACCGAAAGACCCAAAGAATATTAATTCCTGCAGTCACAAAAGCTTTAAGTCAAGCAGATAAACTGTTCCCTAAATATATTCTCATGTTATGAAATGAAAAATAAACAAAACTGCATTGGAACTCTTTCAGCTAGCAGAGAATGGATCAGTAAAATGGCATCACAGAACAACTTCTGATGTCAAATCAATAGGCCTCTTTATCCAGATACGGGGTGGGTACAGCTTTCACATACCCTGCAAAGAGTGGTTGTCGTATGTCTACCAAAATCTAATTTAAGAAGTCGATTTCCCAATTTTATTCCAATTGCGCTACTGGCATCACCACATGAGATGAAGAATCCTTTTGGAACTCTGGTAGTGTAGATCTTTGCCCCGTGTTAGAAAGTGGCTAGGGGGGTGGGGGGGGGGGGGAGGTGCTCTGGCTCAGCGGTCAACACAGATTTACCGGCGATTTCATGAGACGCGGGACTAGGCTCGCGGTGTGTGCATTGCCTGAGCATGCCGTAGGCCAGGGTAGAGCGCAGGGTAGTAGGACCGAAGTGCGTGATGTTTCTCCGATGAAGGCTCTCCTCCGTGAGGGCGATGCCCACGCACATCTCCTGGTCGTGGATGTTCACCAGCACCTGCAGCCAAAGGCCGGGTTCATCGACCAAACGGCTCACCGAGGGGCGCTCACAAACAACTGTGACTATACCCCACATGGCAAACACATGGAGATGCAGAAAGATGAATCGCCGGAGAGGTGTTTAGATTCCACTTGCCTCCACGTCAAAGTTCTTCATGTCCGCCTTCCAGCCGAAGTGATCCTGCACGGCTCCACCAAACTCACGCGCCACCTCCATGGAGGTGAAGCTGTGTCCGTCGCCCGCGCGATTGCAGGTCACGCGAAATCGCAATGTCCTCCCGCCATCCCCTCCCGGAAGCTCCTCCGGCTCCTCCGGTGCCGCAACATCTTCTCCTGAGGCAGGGCTCTCGGTGTCTCCGGCCTCCACGACGTCCTCCCCCTCTTTTGCGGTCGTGGCTGATAATGCTGCTGCTGCATCTAAGATGGGACGGTGAATAAGAGTGGACGTTCAGCGACTAGATCAAGCGTTCAACAAATTGCACAAGCAGTGAAGTTGTGATGGAATGAGGTGTTTAAACGGCAGCACGGACAGTGGTCGAGACTAAAGATGGAGTAGCAGTCAAAGAAGAGAACACACCTGAGAGGAAGCCCTCGAATCGCATGACCATGAGAGATGGCATAGGGATTACTTTACACACTATATAAGACACGGCGTCAAAACCGAAGGTATATACAATTAAAATCGTTTCCACAAAACACCCACTCCAAATCACACTTAAGAGAGTGGATTAAACCGAGATGATGCCACTGCACCTTGCTCATCACGGCCAGTGGCGTCCGACGAGTCGTGAACTTTGAGACGATGGACGCCATCTTCCACGCTGCCCGTCGCCCCTGGTGCTGCGATGCCCTTTGCAATGCTGCCCCGTTGCTGCCCTTGCGGCTGCCCACGTCGTTGTCCATGCGTCTTCTTGCGCTTTATGTCGTTGTTTTGCCTCCAGAGGCCCAGGGGGATGTCCCATGACAGCTTGCTCGGGAGCGCGGTAAAGTCTGCCAAGGCCTCCTCCTGCAGTGCGTGGAGACTTTTTACGAGCCCACATAAACATCCAAGCCCCTCCAGCGCAGGCCCTCGTGATACTGCAAGTGGCTTTCCACTGACTATTTGCCGAGCTGAACCAGAAATAAACTGTGAAACTCTGGCCTCACAAAAATCTGAATCGGAATCTGGCTCACGGTCTAGCTAGGTGGAATAATCATAATTGCAATTTGAAAATTATTAACATCAGTGGCATAGCTCGTGTTGCGCAGTGGAAAAAAGAGCTTTATAGCTCATCGGATTCCTCCAGTATAAATAAACATTGTGATTCTGGAAAATAACTTGGTGCATGTTGATCTGCACCAGACTGGCTCAGAACAACGCCGTTACGGTTCAATTGTAGAGTGGAAAAGAGGCACTCGATTAGGATTCACACAAATACACACGGACACAAAATCCTCAATATAGCTTGCAAAGACTCTTTGAAAAGGCTGCCATTGGCTGCTGAAATAAAAGTCTTAAATAACAAAAATATCTGCACGTAAATAAAAATATAATAACACGCACATATGCATGTATGTATGTTGGACTTCTTTCGCATCGTACGTAGCCAACCATGCTAATCGGAGGTGTGGATACACGTGCCACAATTAATACATTTTAGACCTTACCTTGTTCTCTTTAAACTGGTAGCCCTGGAACTCTTCCACCACCACAAAGAGATTGTCAACTGAGCGCAGTTGATGCACCTGCAAAGCAATCACAAGACAATTAATTAAATTCGTAGTCTGTATGCTCAACTACTTCGATAAGAACTTGCAACACTCCATAGGATTTTGAAGCATTACAAGCCTATTGCAGTGAATTAAAGTGCAATATTTAGATTTAGACACGAAATATAATCATTTAATTTTTTTTTTTACAGCTCTTTGTGAATTAAATTCTGCGTGGCCTCCTCTCCACGTCATCCCGGTTATGGGCAGAAACATGATTTTGGACGTATGATTTGGGGGTCTTCAAAGATGTGGTAATCAAAACCATGAAGTGGTATTTTACTTCGGCATAGTATGTCAAACGATTAGGAATAAATGGTCATATTTACCATGATGTTGGACGTACTTAAATGGACTCGTTCATCCACGCCGGGGTGGTGATGGTGATTTCAGTTTCGTGTTTGTGCCATACCATTGAATGACTTAATCAATAACATATATTTTATAAACATATAATTATTATCAATATAAACACCGTTTTGGAGTAAACACGTTTTGACAGTATGCCCACGGTGGACATTCAGTGAAGACATCAGCTGGTGTGCAGGAGATAGATGTATCGTTGTATTACCGGACCATGGCGAAGGCTTGAGAAGACCTTCATCCAGTAGTGGATAGTTGCCGGCTAATGACGACGATATATTATTAGGACGATTTGAAAACTTTGGACCCCAGCTTTGCCCAATTCAAGGTCTTGAAGATCGGACGATGAATGTTGTGGTACTCCTTACTGGTGACCCCCTGGTCGCGGAGCTCCCAAACTCTTTGGTTCTATTCGGTAAAATCCTCTGGACAGGTTGGTCCCTTCACCTGATGAAGGCAACTTGTGTTGTGGCTGAAACGTCGTGATTTTTGTTTTATTTTTTACCTACGTGACTTGACCGAATAGAACCAAAGAGAATGGATCCTTGCAGTCACGAGAGCTTCAAATCTAGAGCTCCCAAACGTTGGAGATCAGACTCTCGGACAGTGTTGACATCTTTCCGTCCTGACTAAAGACACATCTTTAAAACATTTTTTATTTAAATAGATTATTGTTGAATTACTTTCGCACCGTACGTGGCCAACCGTGCTAATTGGGGGTGCGGTTTTTGTTCCTCTCCGGCTCTTATTCCGCCAACTGGTTCCTTCTTTATCATCTCTGTTCACTCCATGCACGGCACCTCGAGACATTATTGTGAACGGCGCCTACACAAGTGCTAACTTATTACAATAATTATTATTACAATAATTATTCATTTGTGGGACTTCTCGGTGGTGACAGTCCATCCCCCCCAGGCCTGGCTGGCGCGCGCTCTACCTCTCGCAGCTCGGAGCTGGGCACCACGAACGTGATCCGCCCGCGGTCCTTGCTGACCAGCGCCTCCACGCCGATCTTCTCGCTCACCTCATCGGCGGCCGTCCCCTCGAAGCCAGTGGGCACCGTAGCGCCGATGGTTACCTGCAAACGGCAATAAGGAAAGGAGATATATAGCGCACCTCTAGCCTCCACGCCAACGCAGTCGCCTGCGTGCAAATGCAGACTACGTACACGGGACTCTGATCATCGAATACAACGGAGAAAAGCGAGTACCTGCACAGCATCTCCTGCAGGAACTTTTGCACTGGTTTCACCGCTTGACTGTTCGCCGTCCATTTTATCCTTATCCCTGAGAAGGAAGATTACAACATTATGAGACCTCCTTTGGCAGTAACAAGATATAGGAATAGGTTTTACCCTTTTAACTGGCACAAAAACTGACACCTTTATTCAAGGCATCATGTTTGCAATAACCACAACACAAGCAGTCAAAATGCAAACAAAAAAGACAACTCTGATAATAATATGCACTGTCCTTGAATTTGATTGGTCCACACCCGAGACGGCTTTACTTAGTCTCCATTGGTGTTGGACCAGAAGACGCCAAAAGGCGTACAACTCAAAAACAGCGCACTATCAGAGTATTGAGGGCTCGGGGTGAGCATTTACATTATTAATATTACTGGCAAAGGAGGTCTCATAATGTAAATGCTCACCCCGAGCCCTCAATACTCTGATAGTGCGCTGTTTTTGAGTTGTACGCCTTTTGGCGTCTTCTGGTCCAACACCAGTGGAGACTGGGCTCTAAGAAAAGCCGTCTCGGGTGTTGACCAATCAAATTCAAGGACAGTGCATATTATTATCAGAGTTGCCTTTTTTGTTTGCATTTTGACTGCTTGTGTTGTGGTTATTGCAAACATGATGCCTTGAATAAAGGTGTCAGTTTTTGTGCCAGTTAAAAGGGTAAAACCTATTCCTAAGATTACAACAATTAGCAGTGTTGAGTCACTGCTCATTAGATAGTTCACAGCACTTCAGGGTTGCTTACGTGGCAAATGGCAGCCCAGCAAAATGAATCTCTCTTTATTTTGCAGATACACGGCTAAGGCTGTGCGTCCTGGGCTGGCTGACGTGTGATTGCACCATCGTTAATGAGGCAAAAGCCTTTAAACGTGGCTTTGAGTCACGCAGTCATGGCATGGCAATACATCTTTTATTAACTCACCGCGCTTCGGCAGCACTCATGGTAACTTTAAAGTATTTTTTATCTCATTCACCAAGCCTCAATCTGGTGATGGTCAGTCTGGGTCATGTAGCCTTGTTGATATCAACCAAGAGCTATCGTTGTTTTTGGGTTGTCCCTTCCTTTAAGCAGGAATTAAGTTGTTTCGTGAAATGTTTTAATTGCCACGTAATTTAAAGAAAGCTTCATTAAAATAAAAAACAATGAAAAATTACAGCACAATATTTCATTGCATTTTGGGACAGCAATGTGGACCAGGTGTAGATATCATTACAACGCATCAGTTAATGAAGACGAATGAAGAAACAATACAAAATTAAGGACAATGACACCTTTTGTATTGATGTGAAAGCTAAATACTGCGTGGCCATAGCGTGCACTCTAAACAATTAAATGTTCGAAACGTGGCTGATGAGAATGGAGCTCATCTTCACGGAAGCACATTGACCAAAAGGTTCGACCATATCAAAACCTTTTATGTTTCTCCTTTAAACGTATCGGTGTGGATTTTTGTCAGAAAAATGTATAGTTTTTTTTTAAATATATAACGTTACAATGAAATATATTTACAAGCCTATAACCAAATACTGTAGCCCGGAATGCATTTGAACCAGTGCGGTACCTGGCTAGCGCTTAGATGGGTGATCAGGTTACGACCCAGGCACAGCCGTCAACCCCTTATCAGTGTCGTTACCCTATTACAGACCAATTCAGAGACCTTATTGGTCACTCCGTACCATTATAAATCTCAACGTTCATCCCACAAAATCCCATCGCAAGGGAGAAACGCAAATAGCCGTAAGCTGTATGGATCTGCAGACTCAATTTCCCCGTACAAGAAACGCGGAGTGAGCCGTGTGGGTTGACAGCTCTGCTCACGCTGGCCAGCAGTGTAGCAAAACCGATCGTTGTACTGAACAACGCGCACTCAACTTCTACGCTGCTTACTCCCTCACCAACTAGCGTGTGGTCAAATGTATACGGCGTAGCCAGCACCACGCCCCACCGTCTTTGTATCCCCCCGCTGCTGATGTTATTTATACACCGGCGGGAACTCGATGGATGAATTCACCCGCGGCACTTGGGAGATGCGCTCACGATCGTCCGCGCCGGCAATGACTACAAACGTGTAACGTGACGAGGGGATGGCGCATCGAGTGAGTCAAAGGAGGAATTTGTAGGATGGAGCTTTTTGAAGCCCTAAAGAGGCAAACTCTCACCAGCACGACCACCACCAAACTCAGGACCACCACCAAACTCACGACCAGCACCGCCACCAGCACCACCACGTGTGTGGTCACCCCTCACCCCCAACCTCTAACCCCGAGTTTGCAACATTTCACTTTACCATCGCGCAAAACACACAGCCCACGTATAATCGATTACGAATAACAACAATAACAACAACCGTGTGTTTGAATATAAAATTGTTGTGGTTTTATTTTTTGTTTAATAACACATTTTTGTTTATCAATATCGGAGGTCAAAGGTCGCCGCGTCACGTGGAATGCGCATGTCGACCGGGCGCCTTTCAACTTTAGTTTAATTTGCGAAATAAAAAAAAATAAACAATTCACAGGCAAAATTAGATTGCCGATCGTGCGAGCTGTCTGTATTCATCCACGGATGCATGTATAGCAGCTCAAAATCCCAGTGGATGTTATGAACATATACTCCGCCGCGCAGGCCTCGGTTGGAGCATCCGGGCTCGCCTAGGATGCGTGCCGGGATCGGAGCGACTTTGCCCGCGGGGGAGAGACGGCCGACGTGGGGTAGGGGTCGGAGTCTAAAACCGGTTTCCGAGGTCGGGGCTCGCGGGGTCAGAATCTGGGGGTAGAGAGATCGGATCAAAGTTGGGATCAGGGTTAGAGCAAGGGTCAGGGTTAGAGTAAGGGTCAGGGCTAGTGTAACGGGCCAGGGTTAGAGTAAGGGTCAGGGTTAGTGTAAGGGTCAGGGTTAGTGTAAGGGTCAGGGCTAGTGTAAGGGTCAGGGCTAGAGTAAGGGTCAGGGTTAGAGTAAGGTCAGGGTTAGAGTAAGGGTCAGGGCTAGTGTAAGGGTCAGGGCTAGAGTAAGGGTCAGGGCTAGTGTAAGGGTCAGGGCTAGAGTAAGGGTCAGGGCTAGTGTAAGGGTCAGGGTTAGAGTAAGGGTCAGGGCTAGTGTAAGGGTCAGGGTTAGAGTAAGGGTCAGGGCTAGAGTAAGGGTCAGGGTTAGGGTTAGAACCAGGGTTAGGGTTGAGGTTGATAGAGCGGCTGGTGGTGCCGGGTTGAGACCGGGGTCCCGGAGCTCCTCGGGACAAGAATCTGGACCAGGTTATGAGATATCGGTTTACGTTTGTGATTGGATTCCGAAGGAGAATCAGCTCGTCGCAGGGCCTGGGTCGGCCGGGGAGTTGAGCGAGGATCACGGGTCGAGTTCGGGACCAAGAGACGCGTGAAAGGACGGGTGATGTGGAAAGGGCGGTGCTCGGGTTTATAACAATCCGGTGGCCGCGAAGCCTGTAAGTAGTAGTAACGCGTCGTCATGGAGGACACGTCCAACGGGCCGGAGATGCAGGTGCTGCAGGCGTTCTTCTCTCACGTCGGCGGCTTCGCGTGCGACCGTGCCAAGGACTACATCGAGAGGGAGAAGGAGAGCAGCAGCAGAGGCGGTGGCGGTGGCGTGGCATGGGCGTCCCTGCTGTCGGCCCTGGCGCACCTTGCGGCCACCGAGAGGGCCTACCACTCCATGACCTTTCTGGGCCAGAAACCAGGTGCAGCAGCAGCAGCAGTAGGAATACTTAAGATCGAAACGCGAGGACGATTTCTCCACAACACTGGATGTCACCTGATGAGGCTGGTTGTTGTAATTACAAATGTTGCTGTGGGTTTACTCTCCAACACACCGAATTGGCTGGCATATTTTGTTTACATGACAAAGCTTACCAATTGCCAAATAATCTGGTGCATAATTGCATGTAAAAGAGCTCCCAGCCTATCCAGAACACAATCTCAGAAGGACCGAATATGTGGGCATCATGTCGATTAAACAACCAACACAAAGAGATCAGCTGTTTGGATAATGCTGAGAGCTGTGTGTGGTGTTAATTCAATTTGTTTCCAGCCTGCATTAACGTTTCTGTTATGATGGGTTTTCTTGTCAATTCAATATTTGAAGTACTGTACTTTAATGTCAGTATCAGTAGTGGTAGGGCCAGGATAAGTAGTTAATAAGTAATATTTAAAAATACTTTTTTTTAAAAACACGCTTTAATGAAATGTACCGTACTCGTAATTCCCGAACTCCACGACTCCAGGAAGTGGCCGTGGTGATTTACAGCCAATGTCAGTTGAGCGTGGACAATTACTGTAGACCCAAGCCGAAACATAACATGTAAAAAAGAATGTTTAAAAAAATGATAGAATATGGTATTGTCATCAGTATGACATATGTATACCAAGTTTGCAGTCGATACCGCATTGGGAAGTGGCTTAAAATTGAGTTACAAGATTTGAGGATACGACAACAACAAAAGACAGTGAGTTAAATAAAAGCGTGTAATAATAAAATAATAAAAAGCAGTAGCAGTGACGGCATTATCAGTAGCATTAGTTTCCCTGACCTTTAATTTGGGCGAAATGCATGGCTGTGCACGTGTGTTAAAAGTGTTTTAAGTGTTTGCTGTGTTGAGTGCTGACCTTGCAATCTCTTCCAAACTATCTCAGGCGTTACACTTTATGGGATGTGCTTTGGCAGTTAAAACCTTCAGTTATTCATCTACAGTAAAATGTTTATATTGGCCGACATAAGGAGATACTGCATTTGCTCAAATCAGATTTCAATGATAAGTAACGCCTGCTTTCGCATCTTAATCATTGTTAACGTGATTGAGAACTTGCATGCCCACTTTTTACTATAATACATGGTTTAAACTGCAAGGAGATGCGTCCTTAATCAAGTAGAAACACAGAATAATGACATTGAGAGTATTATTTTACTGATCAAATGAACTGGAATGCAGCCGATCTCGACAGAGCTAAGCTGGGGTTGAGCCTGTGTAAAGGACTCCCCACTTGGATGGGCAACAATCACGCCCAAAACAGATGGCTGCAGGGTTACCCTGTGTGCCGTGGAAGAGCAAGAGGTGCAGAAAAATCCATTTCTGCGATGTGCTATGGATATTAATTTACATTTGTAAGGCGCATTTCGTCCGTAGATGCCATGTCTGCTCCCCGCCTTCAGCCCGCACTGACCAGCGCGGTGAAGTATGGTCAAATAGCCCCCCACAACCCACGAGATTGTGGGTGAGACCCTCATCCAGCAGTCGATTGACAAAAGGTCTGCAATTGTAATTCACTTTATAACCTAATAACCAGACTAATTGGTTAATATTCTACTCAGTAGTGGTAGTATCCCTGTTAATACCCTGTGTGTGATGACTTGTGTGACGGTGTGTAGAGGGAGATGTCCCTTTTTTGCTTCTTCGCTGGTTTGAAGGTTAGTGATCAATTCCGAAAACAAATTAATATCGGTATCTGTAAAAAACCGATACTGTGATTCAAACTGACCTACTGCTTATGCTGGTGTCAACTTTCGGTGTTCGTTGTCGGAGTATGAATTAAACTCCAACCTGGCCGAGCGGAATGAGCCAGCCACAACTTTCCTCTTTCCTTCTGGAGTTGCTGCTGAAATATTGAACGTATTTGGATGGCTATCTCATTCTCTGTTTATTATTCACTTGAGCTTTGTAAGAGTCAGGCTGGCTCTTTTTGCGACGGTTTAGGGGTGCGCTCAACAGGCAGAGCGCTCTGTCGTGGGCGCTACAAGGTGGAATTTAGCTTCTATTGAACGGTGCGTTAGGCATGCTGAGAGCATTACTACGACGGGTGATGTCATGTACATGCTATGGCCAATGAGTGTGCGCACATTGTCTTCTGTAAATTCTCCAGCGCAGGAAGGTACGGTGCCTCCGAATAGCTGGATTTTGACCCTCCTGCCTAACGATCAGAAGGCAGTGAATCAGACATTTAGCTCCTGTTGCAATGTGCTCTGGGCTAACAGATCGTTCAATAGAAAAGCGCTTTGGAGCGGTCTCCCCATTGATCGCACCCCTTTTTTTTACTAATGAGTTGCTATTAATAGCTTGCAATGGGTTGGACATAAGCAAATTCAATTTCTTCACTCAAGCAATGTAAACAACAATGCTTACATTTTTATACAAAAACACCATGGTATTAATGATCATATTTTTAATATGGCTCATATTGAAGCATTCTAATACAATATGGTATTTATATACTATAATTAAAAATTATATCACGGAGCCTTATGTTACATCACCATCAGTTAAATATAGCAAAATAACACTTGGCATCACAAATGCAACATTGGGACTGCAGGTGGAGCCAGCTTTATTATATTATTCATCAAAGCAATAGCAAACTTAAGTTTAGAATTTTTGCTTATTACATGAAAGAGATTGGTTTAGGCAGTTTGGTCAGATAATCTCACAGTGCTAATAGGAAAAAAACACTTTAAAATAACTGTAGGTCATTAAAGCACAATTAAAAGCAAGGCGGAGGCTTTTGTGGTAATGCGACAATTCCTACTTAAATTGCAGAAACGACTATTTAAAATTATTTGATACTCTTGCAAAATTCAAGACATCTTAGATAATGCTAATATAGCCCCTTTCCTCTTTTCAGCTTCACAGTCGCAATGCTCTTCAGGGCTAGCATTTTGGGTGGCTTTTCTAGCGGTGAACAAGACAATGCTGCAACTTTTCAGCCTACATTTCAAACAACTATTATAGGTGCATTATTGTTTTCAAACAAAAGCATGAGCTACTATCATGTGATGGTACATAGCCTTGGGAACTGGAAATATGATAATCTTTGCATTTAACTTACTGTGTAGTGTTTTGTTCATATGCCTGCCATCTGCATGAACGATAATTAAACACCACTTGTTGTATAAACAAGTTATGATGTACAAAATTAAAAAAAATTAAGACACCGATATAATTGTAAAAAATTGTAAAAAATTTCTTTCCCAATGTCCTCATCAACAATTTTCAATTCATCCATGTCTAAGACTACCTTTACCTTCAGCCACACATTGTGATTGCAAGCGTTCCACAACTAAACCTCTTGCATTGCCCCTAACACCTCGAGCCTTGTCCATCGAATCTGATCAGGCCTGCCCAAAGAAGCCGGCGGTGGTGTTTAATTAATCCCGGTCAGTACCAACCTTCTCGATGCCGGTACCGCGTGCCGCTATGTACAGGCGGACAATCTTTCTTCTCGCGCAAGGACACTCTGCGCAGCATGTACGGCTCCTTGTGCTCCGAGCTGCGCCGCGTCACGGGCTCGGGCGCGCAGGCAGCTGCCGGCAGTGGCGGCAGCGGCGGTGGCAATGCGGCCGTGCACTCGGAGGATGTCCTGGGTCACCTGGCCGAGCAGCTGGGCCACCTGGTGCAATCGAGGCAGGAAATGGCCGATCTCTACGAGAAGCTGCACGGGCTGAGCCTGGGACGCAACGCCGCGCCCGACGAGCTGCTAGCCTCGCTTGGAGCCATCACGCAGAAATTCTCCTCCAGGTGTCGTGGTCACTTTACACCTCCCCCCCCCCCCAGCTCATGTTTAATCGCAGTTGTCGAATAAAGACCCAAAATGCCAGTTGGCCAGCAGTAAAACGGCACTGTTGAAGGTGTAATGGATGGGAGTTAATATACCCATTTAATATGTCTTGAATTGAACAAAGTCAGAAGAGTTTATGGAAAAAAAGACGTTAGGAGAGAATTCTAAATGTTGCAGTGCAAGGATTCAGGTCGCAAGAGAAGGGTTTTGGATACATGATAGTGGTTGAACACGGTATGAATGAGATGGAACAGTCTGTTCAGGGGGTGTCCAGGAAACAGTTACCAACCTAAACAACCTCATTATTCAGATAGTTGTATTTTCTGCCCACTCGCAAGAAAATATTACTTTGGATTTTATTGACAGTTGTCAGATGAGCTGGATGGCAGACATTTGTGGGGAGATAGAAAAGGTAGACGGAAAAGTGTCCCAAAGAAGAAAGTATGGATTATATAAATACTTCCCATTTCAAAGAATGGAAATTACGTTTTTATGACATGAGCACATACTCTGTTGGGCAAAAGGAACATCACCATACAGCATACACTATTGAATCGTAATGTTCTTTGAGGATATCGCTAAAAAGTTGTGAATTAGTTATTGTCAGAGGGTACAGCCTATGGTATGTTCAGGCATAGTTTGTGTTTAATTATGCGTGCTGAATATAAGTGCTACGGAGACACAGGTAGCCAGTGCTGCTCCCGGGCATACTACCTTGCTGTGTGCCATGCTGGCCTTAACTCTTTCCTGTTCGGAGACGTCTGCAAGTTGCAGGGTGTGTACCGTTCACCGCTCAATCTCGGAACACGCAAGCAGTTAGCGGAAATGTTGATGTAGAGGGGCGTAGCACTGTTGTTTTTAAAGACACGCTCATCATTGGAACGGGAAAGGTTCAAGGCGGCACCGACGCCCGCGGTTGTTTGCTTCCCCAAAAGTGACCTAACTGCCATCGGCCATTGACTGCGGTGCTCAGGGTTCACCACCCGGTGCTCAGCGCCTTGAGCAGCAGCTTCCAGCACGAGACGGAGGCGCTGGGTCACCTGCTGCGCGCCCAGCGCGACGTCTCCTCGTGGCTCTTCCTGCCGGCGCTGCTGGAGCTGCACGCGGCTCACGCCAAGCTGGGGGCGTGGGCGTCCCGCGGCTCGGAGCGAGCGCGCGACGGCGCCGCGGCGCCGCAGCGCAAGCCGCTGTTCGGCGGCGCTGCCCAGCGCGCTGCTCCCACGCCACACCTGCACCAGTGGATGGTGCGTGTTCTCTCGGGGTGGCCTCGTAAGAGTGTGTTGTTCTCTGTTATGTACGCATATATATATTTTTTTTAAGTGATTCATTTACCTTGCCTATCATTTGTTGTAACGTTCCGACATGCCCCCACTGGACATGTGTAAAAAAGAGCTTTCTAGATTATCAGATTCCTCCAGTATAATTATACTGATTCTGATGTATGATGTACTTCTTTCGCACCGTACGTAGCCAACCGTGCTAATTGGAGGTGCGGGGGAAGGACAACAAACTAAATTAGAAAGCCTCGCTGCATTGGGGAGATTTGGCTATTTTCCTTCGTCATCGTCATTTTCAGCCATGATCAATTTGTTTCTGGATGAAGGCCTCCCCAAGATGCCACCATATCTAAAAGTCCCATGATATACCAATACATCGAGCACCTGCACGCGAGCTGATTTTTATCGCTGCATCTCCACAGTGAACGTTCTCTGGGGCACGTTCCCTCCTCTGGATTCCACTCTTACGGTAGTCTGGACCACTGGCCATAATCCCTTGTGCTTTGTCTGGGTATTATGAAAAAAGTCATACAAATGTCTGCTGTGCTTCCTACTGCAAACACCCACTTGCTGCCCAGCATGTTAGGAGTATAAAGCAATGATATTTGTGTGATCCAGTAACCACCCTTCAAGAAGGGCGGGTTTTGTCATGCTGCCAGTACTTTCAAACAGCACTTGTCCTGCCAGTCCACCCAGACTAAAACGGGCAATATCTGGTTGTGCTGGTGAATGCTCACAGGCCAGCGCTTTGGAGTCAAGGGATGATGGATCAGATTTGTTTTTAAATTTACAAACCTGCTAGATGACAAGGTCTCGAGGAGACGGTACGAGCATCAAGTTAATTCGTGAACCCATTTAAGCGTTACGCCCGCTCCTCATATGAATATATATTATCCAGTGGTTTAGAATTAGTCGGATAAGCCAACACACACCTTGGGACCTTTTTTGTGAAATAAGCGTCTTGAGACTCGGTGAAATTATCGTGGAAAAAACATTTATGCCAGTGTATACGTTCTTTTTTTTTCACCACCGCACAGGTGAAGTACAAGACGTTCCTGCTGGCCAAGTTCAGCTTCTACTTCCACGAGGCGCTGAGCCGGCAAGCGGGCGGCGAGATGAAGTCGCTCACGGCGAAAACAAGCCCCGACTTTTTTGGCAAAGTGTCGAGCTTCATCAAGAAGACGGATGCTGCCAACGTGTCTCTCATCCTTGACACGCGTGGCCTGGAGGACAGCTTCAAGGTGATTGTGGATTCACGATCGTGGTTCCACGACCATGATTTGTGTCAAAGGGGGCAAATGTCCCGAGGGTGAAATGCTTTTTCGACAATTCTCAGCTCTCTAGGTGTCGTTGAGTTCGTGGTGGGAGTAGCACCAACTTGTAGCCCATCTATTGAACAACTACTGACTAGTTACCGCCAATTGGAGCCCATCAGATGATTCCTTATTTACATTTTTTTTCCAAGAAGGATTGACTTCACGCTGGCTGAATTTTTTTTACAAATGATCTCAATATCAGGGACCTTGCTGTTCTGCCCAACCTAAATCAGCTGTCGCGTATGAATCAGGTATTGTAAATGTGAGGAGCACAGCAAGAACAAAACTATTGGCTATAGCATAGTACTTGGTACTGGTAAATGGACTGTTGTGATAAAAGTTAGTGTTTCAGACAGGCTTATAGTTGTCTTAGGGTAGAGTGTTGGTGCAGTGTTTAGTGCTCTGAACCAAGCAACCCGAGTTCGATTTCCACAGTGAACACAAGTGGTCAGTGATAGTGTAACTTGTCGTATGCCCTTTCTTCGCCAACCTCCATTAGCCATCTTGGTGAAGTATGGTCAACTAACTCCCAAGACGACTTGGGTGAGAAACCTTCATCCAGTAATGGAATGGCAAAGAGCTGTACATTAATAGTTTTAAGCATCAGCCAAACTTACCTATGCAACGTATGAGTGTTGTGCATGGTGCACATTCTCCCATGCATAAAAAAGCATGAAATGGTACAAATATCCCAAAACTAGTAAGCCTGTCAGAAAAACAAACGAGACAAAGCTTCTCTGTGTAAACATTCACCCGTGTAGACTTGCTACGTCACCTTACCTGCCCGACTCCACGTGCTGCGCAGGGTCACGGCTACCACTACCCCGGGTCGTACCCGGAGGGGTTCAAGGTTCCGGCCGAGGGCTTCGTGCCGGTGCTGTCGCTGCCCAGCGAGCGCACGGCCATGCACTGGTCGGCGCTGTCTATGGTGCTGGCCGAGCGTGCCTCCGAGCTGGCGTGCGCGGAGCGCGTGGTGCACGACTACGACGAGAAGGCGCAGAGCACCTACTACCTGGCGCGTCCCGAGCCGCGCTTCACCATCGCTGTCGTCTACGAGAGCCGCCGGAGCGAGAAGGACTCCGGCGTACACGCGTTCCTGCTTGAGACCGCCGCCGCGCTCAAGCACAGCAAGCCCTTCGCCAGCCTCAAGCCGGGCTCCAAGGCGTAGGTAGTCCAGCCGTGGAGGAGAGATGGCCCCCACCCCCACCACCTCCCACCCCGAAGCTGACCTTTTAACGGAGCTCCACTTCTTTCGTATGGCCAATGTAGATGCAGAGCAACGCCTACAATTTCACGTTCAGGTGGTCAAGCCAGACAGCCGCGTCAGTAGCGGAGCTCGACTGACCGACCACCTCACCAACCTCAAGCTGCAATTGAAGGTGTAGGCCGGCTTTGACTGAACACTCTTTGACAAGAGCTAGACTCATCTAAGTGGCCGAGCCAGATTCAAAGTCATGATCTGGCCGTGGATTTGGGGAAAGGTGGCCCTTGCACTGGAAAAGGTGGGCCTGCCCCGACTAAGTTGTTTGACCAAGACCAACATTGATAGCCAAGCAGGGTGAAGACTGGGTGGTTGGTGCCTTCAAGGGTAGCTCCCTTGAAAGACTGTGTCCATGTAAGGGTTCATAATCATCATTTTCATTCTTCTCAGCCATGGTTTAACCTCTACTGGATGAAGACCTCCCCACGTCAGTGCCATGCGAGATAGTTATGTCATGTTCCAATCCAGCTCGCTCCCATACATCGATGAAGTTGTTTGAGTAATCTTGATTTGTTTGAGTAACCTGACTTGCACGGGTGCCCTTAAACAGTTAAGTTCCTCATCTATTCTGGGTTCTTGAGCTTATAAGTCACAGCTTGGTAGTGGCCACTTGAAGAAGCTTGCACAAATAAAAAAACTTGCCGAAAACAATGTGAATGTGCCACAGAGGGATGAAGCGTGCAATGAAAAGTGCCATACAACTGTAAATTGATGTGGTTTATGGTCTCCAAGCGGTGATCTGCAAAGTTATTGTTCGGTGTATGTTGAGCTTCTCTTGCACCATAGCCAACCGTGTTGATCGAAGGTGCGGGGAAGGACAACAAGATAAGACAACCAAAGTAAGAGCCAATGTCAGTCTAGAGCTCAGACCAATCTGGCAACTCATGCCTTGTGCCATTCTCATCAGACCAGCTGATTTGATTACTTCCGAGAGGAAAGCAGAGCATGCTGTCCAGCCTTAAGGGCAATCATATGGTGAAGCAACTATAGCAAAGTGTGCGTGCATGCAAGGTGCCAGTGTGTTTAGTCGGATGCAGTTTGATTGAGCAGCCCTAAATATTGTTGGCTATTAAAGCAAATCCAGGATTTGTAAAGACCGTCAGAAGTTCAAACGTATGTGTGAAAGCTATATGCAAAAAGTGGTGCTTAATAAAATATCGGTGGCGTTTCTTGCACTCGAGAATACAGCATATCATTCATGTCTATGCAGTTCCTTTTAAGGTGCACGCAAGTATACGTGGTCAACCGATTTTGTATAATGTAGATATTACAAAACAATGGATTTTGTGAGGATTTGGCAGTACCCACAGATTTTGCCAACAAGTATATTCAACCAAGCCAAGTATATTCAACCAGTTTGCTCAGGATGGCCAATCATTCCCTGCTATCCCTATTGCAGTGGACAGTTCAACTGAGATAATGTAGCAAGACAAACAATGCTTATACACATATACAGACCTTCCCTTTTATATGCCTGAATGCTTTAAAGCAAACAGTAGTCGAGCAGAACCAGCCTATCCACTGTAAGGTTAGGTTTCACTTGACCTGCCCAGCATGCTCGACTGACCATCGGTGTTTGCAGACGAAACTTATCCACACATTTTCATGCTGTTGAGATGGAGAGGTGGCAAGGATCTGTGGGTGCTGCCAAGGTCGTACAAAAATCATTTTTTTGCAGAGGAATTACATTATTTTTTTGGCCTGGTAGCAACCAGCGGTTGCCAGATATTTGGGAAAACAGCAGAAAGTACCATCCTGTTGAAGGCTACATCTGCAGAAGCCAAGCATTGTATCGATGCTTCAGTGCCAGATTAAGGTGTGCGATGTTAACCAGACAGCCATCTCGTGGCTGGTGCTTGGGGGGGGGCGGGGGTTGCGACAGGGGGTCAGGACCCTTCTCTCCATTTGAGCAGGCTGATGCTAGAGCCATTCTCTTCTGGTCAATCAAATGTCTGGGGGCAAGACCCAGAATATTCTGGGTACGAGGAGGAATATTGTGAACTTCCCAAGGAATGAAGCACCACATGTTGGTATATGAGATCCAGTGCTTTGCATAAGGGCAGGCCCATCCAATTGTGAAGATGAAGAAAGGAAGCTCACAACTAGCAAAAAAATTGTCTCAAGCCAGGCTCTGCACTGCTGTGCAGATAAAAAGTGAGTTTGGTTGAGCCCTGCCCACTCTTGTAGGCACTGAAGGACGATGGTGGTCTTGTAAAAGAGTTTTCTCATTGCATTGTTGCACACTTTTAATTGTATGCTGAAATACAAATATTGAAGTTTGACCCCGATATGTATTAACTGCATTAATTACAGGTAAAGGGTGATGCCCTGCAATTTCTCGCTCGCAGAGGGCCTTCTCCACTGGCGCCCCTCTAGAGGGTGTTTTGGCCTACTTTGCCATGCTGGCCAGGCATCTTGGAAGATGAGAGCACCCACACTTGATCCCACCACGCACAACCTGCCGATCAAGTAGCGTGACCAGTATACACCTGGGTGGACGGAGGGGGGCCGTGGGTGGTTACAAACCTTGCCCATCGTTTCAACTTGCCATGCCGGGGAGATTAAACGATACATCTTTGGATCAATTCCAGTGTGCTGTCGATTACACCACAGCAGCAGCAGCTTCCAACTCGCTTCATACGAAATGCAAATTCAAAACAAAGCAAGTAGTATTGCATTATTTTATTTACACTGTTGCCATACGATGCAAAGGTACGTGTTGGTGATGTTTGCACTCAGTGTATGTATCAGACAGTGCATAAACACACAGTTTCTAACCCACCCATGCAGAAATAATTACACATAGCAAGCCAATTTGGCTTGCTATATCGCACGTCTAATTAGGGAATGCTGGTCACTCTGCTAATCGTCACCCGTCTCAATTTACCAAACCTAAACCACAGCACTTGCAACACCAACACAGCATCCATTATTAACAATGGAAAGGACATTTCTGCTACTGTGATTGACTGCTATCATTAATAACGAACAGACATCTCCATGAATAAAGAAAACAGAACAAAAAACCCCCAGGTTAAATGGCTAGCTGCAAAAATTCATTAGAACGTAACACTCAACACAGATTTGTGACATCTTAAGCACTGCACGTACTCTTGATGACCAACAAAGAAAATAATACTTTACAGAAACCATCTCAAGTCATGCCTTTTCACCGTATTCAAAGGTAAACAAAGTGTAACTAAACATATATACAGGTTATACCTTATATTCAACCACATACGCTTTTACAAAGCGCATGGCTAAGAATCGTGGGGTGTTTGGGTATATCATATTGGTTTACAAAACAGTGCCCTTTGTCAGATGTTGGCATACGTTCCAGCTACAGATGTTGATCATGATAAACTCTTCACACACTCGAGCACCACAACAGGTATTTCAGGGGGGTGGGGGTGCATTTTCAGCCGTGAGAGTGGAAAGGGCATGGTAGAGGCATACATGACGAAAATCCTGCAATGAAATCGGCTGCCTATGGAAATGGTACATTTAACTTATTATGTCTGTACACACTGGCAATGCGGGGCAATCATTTTGTATGCAAGCTTGGATGCAAACATTTTTACACCCTGCAATGCATTTTTTTGTCCCCTCTGCCCGAGACATCGGTAATGATATTTCAATTGCAAGGGACATGTGGGCTTCCACTTGACCAAGTGTGGTTCATGCAGGTGCCATACACACAGCCACATTACAGGCCCCTCCCCACAGCGAACAAAACCTGCAGACAAGGTGAGGGCTTAATATTTAACCAAAAATTCCTACAGTAGGATCGTGTTGCACCGAAACTGTTGGCTACATTGATACAATAGTAACACCAAATGCCCAAAGTATATGCACTTAATACATCGTGATGCAAACGGAATATCTATGGGTACACCTCCATTAAATTGCTTCAGTTACGATATATTGTACATTTAGAATTATTTAACATTCGACATTCTTAAGAATCTTCGAATCATTTGCCTTACAAAAGTTAAGCAAAACCGGTGTACATTTCTATGGTCCCTCTGTTTTTCTTATTCTTCTTGGCACGAACAATTGATTATTTCTGGTCCCATTTTGCCAACATTTAGCATTGACAGTCTCAGCGCTCAAAGGCGAGTGGTGTCGGAAGAGAAACTTCCGCAGAGGTTAATAAATACCCCCCCCCCACTCCACCCCCTGTCGCGCAAATTAATTTTACATCTCTGTGCATACGATGAAACATCTGTGGCTCACCGCTTGTCCCAGCGAGCCACGGACCCAAGGTCAATGCCCTGTGCTTTCGCTGACTACGGCTTTTTAAGACTTCAACACGCACAACCGCATTTGCGGGCACGCCGTGTGTCCATTGTTTTGTACGTCAAAATGATGGAGAAGCAGGTGAAACGCACTCACCAAAACCCCCCACAAATATAGATTACGCAAATGTATTATATGGAGCTTTGGTAGAAAGTACTAGCATTAACTATGTAAATAGTGAGAGGGTTTTAAAGTTAACAAGTTGGGCTCAACGGTGGAGATAGCACTGGACTTGACACTGCAGTGAACAATCAGTAGTTTAACCTATCCATCATTTAATGTCAACGTTAGAACAGGCAGTGCGGTACGTTAGTACGATTCGAAAATGTACACCATCACGCTATAATTCCATAGCCTCGCTGCATAAAGTTTAAGGTGTAGGCACGTGCGATGGAATCTTACAGCGTTTGATAGAGGACAGTAGTCAAAAATAGCATAGGGTAACAAAACAAATTGCCAATGCATCGGCTTTTCAAATGCTCTCGCACTAAAGCATTTGTAACTTACAGAAAGTTTGAAATTAAGGATTCAATACAAACGTACAGAGTTTGCGCCTACCATATTTTGATAAACAATACAAACATGCAAGAAAACATTTACAAATTATATTAATAACAATAGCATTTCTGTGGCTGAACGCAACAGCTGTATCCAAATGTTACGAAAACTGGTAATCGCTCAGTTTAAACAACGTTTCAACAAAGTGTGTGATACACTAATACAGTACAACGCCATTAACTTCAACAGACAGGCTCAAGCTGTGATGTTTCTGCATGGCTCTGACGTATCAGTGAGCCGAGTGGTGTTTTCCGTGGTCAACCTATGCAATTGCAAGCCGAGCAACTCGCCTAACTGGAATTGCTCGAGGTTCCAGCTCTCGTCAGGAAAACGCAGACATCTGATATTGCAGTCCAGCTGCAGGTCCGCCCCCACCTTCTGACGGCACGCTTGGCTAAATGCAGACGAATGGTCAACCGTGCCAAAGCAAGGGACCTTCTGAAATCCAAGTCTTGAGATTGACTTGAGAATGTACTGGCTAAATAAAGAACTATTATTCTAACGACATTTTTTTTTGATGTGGCAACCTCCATAATGAAAATGTCTTTAAATAATAAAATAACTGGTATTTACCCCCCCCCCAACCCAATCATCCTAAACAATAATTGATAATGCTTATCTCTACCACAAAATGTGTTTATTAAATGTTAATTAAATACAAAAAAACTGGTTATAATCAAACAAGAGTACTGTCGCACAACGCAGGTTTTAACGGAGTGGATTATTAAGTGCATTTAATTTTTCCACAAAAATATTGTCGGTAAATTTGTCTCGATTCTCGAAATGTAAACGTGCAGGATGTGAATGGGTTTTTTAAAGATATTTTTTAAGATGGTAGGTTAAGTGGAGAAGCCTTCACCTGGATATTATTGGTTATGTTTAAGTCAGGTGTTTGATACGATTTACTGCTATACATATACATTAAGAGAATGAACATTTAAATACATCTATGATGGTCACAATAACGTTTTTCATAAGTGACAATAGAATAATTCTAGCAAACAATGCAATGTTTTTATAGGTAAATATGCCGTTCTGTAAACATTAAAAATGTCTAAGAAATACTGCATTAAAGAGTATTTTAAGCTCCACACACAAGCCAGGTAGACAGAAAACCAACAAGCACAAGTGTGACTTCAACTATGCTGCAAAATCATGAAAAGGTAGCCAAAGCTTTAAAGGGCAACCCTATCTCTATGTGGACGACAAAGGTCAGATCCATCAAGTGCTTAACGACTTGTTTCCTATCGCAAGAGAATACGACATTCCCGTGTGATTTTTCAAAGCTATTAAACGAAAGCCCCCAACTTCACTAAGGATCTTGCGAAACAAAAACTCGGACTCTGGCAAACAGCTCACAATGTGTGTCCAGGCTTTTTTCGTGAGCCTCTCAACGTGTGACCTATTACGACCACATTACGTGGAGCGAGATTGCAAAGCTGAAGCGGGGGTCCATACGTTGCGCAATCCGGATATTACAACATGTGACTCAATGCAGACCCTTTAACAGAATTGGCAACCATGTCGTATGGGTATTTTGGAAATGTTATGCATTAATAATATTTCGCTCATTTAATCCTCAAATGTACATCCAAATTGGTGAATATTAATTGTATGTTCCAGTGGGATATTTAACTCAAAACGAAATGTAATATTCGTAATATTTTTGTTCACCTTGATTTAGTATATGGTCCCATGGGTGCGGTTTTTAAGGACTGACTGAAAGGAATACACTGGGATGTACAACTACGGAAAAGGTAGGAGGAGGCGGTGACAATAACAGGAAACAGAGGACGCATCAAGTGAAGCCGTACAGGAAGGAACAATGTGCTTTTCACCGGTGGTGAGCGGCACCTATATCAACAACACGGCACGTTGTTACGATAGTACATGATGCACCGACAACTCCATGGCTATCCGCCGGCCGGCGGCTGCACGTACCAATGCACCGATTAGAGGCGGGCATGAGACAATCGGGGCGCCTCACATAGTGCACGACTTGTCGGGCGTGCCAGGCGCTGCTGGCCTAGGCTGCCCTGCAGCCCCACCTCCCTGCCTCGGCCTTGCTCCCAGCTGCTGCTGCTGTTGCTGCTGTTGAGACTTCAACTGCGAGCTCAGTTTTGCTTCCAGGAGTGGGCGGAAGGTGGTCATGATCTCGCTGGCGCTGCTCGCGCTGCGGCGTACGGATGGCCCCGGCGGGGCTGCGGGAACGCCGAGGCGGTGCGAGGGGCTGCCAGGGATGGGTGCCGCGGGACCTGGCGGTGGTTTGAGAGTATCCAGCGTGTCCAGTACCACATCTGGCGTGTGCCGCGCCGAGCTCTGCCTCTGCAGCTCACGGAGGTCGCTGAGCGCCGAGTTCACAGAGTCGTCCATCTCCTGCGGGGCAGGAAACGGAAAGCAAACATTGTGTTGGGTGCGGTTAACACCCGATAACGCTGTGCCACCAATGACTGAAGCTTAATCCACGTCACATTAAGTTCTATTTAAGAACTGACTTTCACCAGGTAAACTAAGGATTGAGTGATATTGGCTTCTCAAGTTTTGGATAGCAAATTCAATAAATAGCTGAATAAATTAGTAAATGTAGGAAATTATAGTTGCAAGTTTAATAATGGCGACAATGTATAAAGGTCAGAAATAATACACTAAACACACTGCGTTACATTTCCTAGCATTTCGCTTAATTCCCCCAATGTATTACTGGTACCCAAACTGGTCAAATAATCAGGACGGGTCAGTCAACAGCACGTGTTAGTCACCTGGGCAATGTAAGTGTACCTGAGCAGGTGTTTTGAGTTTCTACCGTAGTCACCACTAACTGAGCAACAGCACGCTGCCGGCATGTCTCACCTCGGCGTGAGTGATCTTGGGCTCGTCGAGGCTGCTATGTCGACTCGATGACGTTGAACTTCGCCCCGTGGGGCTTTCGGGCGGCGCGGCCAATCTCTGCGGGAATCCGCCACCCACAACGCCACTGCTGCCACCGCCGCCACCACCGCTACCCGTGCTGCCCAACCTCCTCCGCTCCGGGCTGCCTTGCGCCTGCGTGGCCGCTGCCACGGCCGCCCGCACGCTGCCCACCCTCGGCTGCTGCAGGTGGTGCTGGTGGTGTGGCAGGTGCGAGGGGTGGTGGTGAGGGCTCGCCGCGGAGGAGGGCGGCCGTGACGGGGTGGCGTCCGCGGACGGAGGGGGAGGGCCACGCACGGGGCTGCGGCCGTCGCTGCTACGCCGGGCCGGGTCGCGCATGTTCAGCGCCGCGCCCTCCGCGCGCAACCGATGCCTGCAGAAAGCAGCGTACGGAAGGTAAAGGTGCAGCCCTGTATTTATTGACCGCGCCACTTCTGGAAGAAGGGCCTCTACTAGAGGCAGCCCGAGAGAGCCTGCTCTTGGAAGGTATTTGGGTCTACTCTTAGACAGTGGCCAGACATGTTGGGAAATCTGGGGAATACCCACATTTTAACCCACCACATGGAACCTGCCGATTGACTGTGGTGAACCCACTTTTCACTGAATGTACCATCTCTATAATTGCTGTAAAGTGGCTGGATAAAGGTGCTATATAACTCTAGATAACATAAGATACTGCCAGGTGGACAGAAGTTGGAGGGATTTAAGAGAATTGCACATTTGTTTGATCTCCCACAAATTCTAGATTGCAAAACAAAAGTGCTAACCATTACATCCCAGCAACACCATGAAGCCACATAACGAGGACTTACTGGTAATCGGCAACTGATGCTGGGGTTCTGGTGTATGTTGAGTGTTTGGTGTTCATGCTTATTTGTGTTGCACATAGTGATTACGATGTGCAAATGTACAGTGAGGGAAAAAGTATTTGATCCCCTGCTGATTTTGTACGTTTACCCACTGACAAAGAAATGATCAGTCTATAATTTTAATGGTAGGTTTATTTGAACAGTGAGAGACAGAATAACAACAAAAAAATCCAGAAAAACGCATGTCAAAAATGTTATAAATTGATTTGCATTTTAATGAGGGAAATAAATATTTGACCCCCTCTCAATCAGAAAGATTTCTGGCTCCCAGGTGTCTTTTATACAGGTAACGAGCTGAGATTAGGAGCACACTCTTAAAGGGAGTGCTCCTAATCTCAGCTTGTTACCTGTATAAAAGACACCTGTCCACAGAAGCAATCAATCAATCAGATTCAAAACTCTCCACCATGGCCAAGACCAAGGAGCTCTCCAAGGATGTCAGGGACAAGATTGTAGACCTACACAAGGCTGGAATGGGCTACAAGACCATTGCCAAGCAGCTTGGTGAGAAGGTGACAACAGTTGGTGCGATTATTCGCAAATGGAATAAACACAAAAGAACTGTCAATCTCCCTCGGCCTGGGGCTCTATGCAAGATCTCACCTCGTGGAGTTGCAATGATCATGAGAATGGTGAGGAATCAGCCCAGAACTACACGGGAGGATCTTGTTAATGATCTCAAGGCAGCTGGGACCATAGTCACCAAGAAAACAATTGGTAACACACTACGCCGTGAAGGACTGAAATCCTGCAGCGCCCGCAAGGTCCCCCTGCTCAAGAAAGCACATATACATGCCCGTCTGAAGTTTGCCAATGAACATCTGAATGATTCAGAGGACAACTGGGTGAAAGTGTTGTGGTCAGATGAGACCAAAATGGAGCTCTTTGGCATCAACTCAACTCGCCGTGTTTGGAGGAGGAGGAATGCTGCCTATGACCCCAAGAACACCATCCCCACCGTCAAACATGGAAGTGGAAACATTATGCTTTGGGGGTGTTTTTCTGCTAAGGGGATAGGACAACTTCACCGCATCAAAGTGACGATGGACGGGACCATGTACCGTCAAATCTTGGGTGAGAACCTCCTTCCCTCAGCCAGGGCATTGAAAATGGGTCGTGGATGGGTATTCCAGCATGACAATGACCCAAAACACACGGCCAAGGCAACAAAGGAGTGGCTCAAGAAGAAGCACATTAAGGTCCTGGAGTGGCCTAGCCAGTCTCCAGACCTTAATCCCATAGAAAATCTGTGGAGGGAGCTGAAGGTTCGAGTTGCCAAACGTCAGCCTCGAAACCTTAATGACTTGGAGAAGATCTGCAAAGAGGAGTGGGACAAAATCCCTCCTGAGATGTGTGCAAACCTGATGGCCAACTACAAGAAACGTCTGACCTCTGTGATTGCCAACAAGGGTTTTGCCACCAAGTACTAAGTCATGTTTGCAGAGGGGTCAAATACTTATTTCCCTCATTAAAATGCAAATCAATTTATAACATTTTTGACATGCGTTTTTCTGGATTTTGTTGTTGTTATTCTGTCTCTCACTGTTCAAATAAACCTACCATTAAAATTATAGACTGATCATGTCTTTGTCAGTGGGCAAACGTACAAAATCAGCAGGGGATCAAATACTTTTTTCCCTCACTGTATATGCCTGTGTGTTGTGCGGACCTGTGTGGTGTGTGCTGAGAGTTTGTTGTATGTACTGTGCATATGTGTGTGTGTGGGGAGTGGTAGTGTAGCGGTTAGCACATTGCACTACGAGCCCAGCGAACCGAGATCGTTTCCCACTCATAGCCAACACCAGTGACGATTACCTGAACCGGTCCTGGGCCTCCCCTAGGTGGACTAAGCCTCAAATGAGTACCTGGTGCGATGTGTAAACGTCGCCACTCGGGAGTCAAAGGCAGCCGGACGTAGTGCTGGCCTCCCAGCCCCTCGTCTGCCACGCCGGTCTTCATGGGTGCTCGCTAACATCAATTGCCCCAAGAGTCTGTTAAAACTATGTGGGATCTTTGTCTTATACAGATGTGTGGTGTGTGTGCTGAGAGTAAGTGTATGGTATGAGTAAGTGTATGGTATGAGTAAGTGTACAGTATATGCTGTGCTAGTGTCATTGCATGTCCTTTAGCACTCGCCGTTCAAACTGCGGCTCGTGCAGCTGCTCGGTGGGGGAGTGAATGTCGTGCTTGGAGGACGTCTTCTCATCCAGGAGGGGGCCGCTGCTCGCCTCGCTGTCTCCCTTCTGGCTCAAGCTGTCGGACAGCGTGTCTTCACTGTGGCCAACACGGACGAGACCAACTACAGCGTTAAAACAACAGCAGCTGACAATCGTGATTTTCGTTCACGTGTGCAGAAGGGATGGGGAAATTGAAATGATTGGGCGATTTTGACCGTGGTCGTGTCTGGCGCGAGCGCGTGCAGCGCGCATCCAACTCACGTGTCCTGCACCACGATGTACTGGTGTGGGATGAGGCCGTCCACACCGTTGTGCCGCCCCTCCCACCAGTCTTCGGACGCGCGCTGGTACAGCAGCAGCGACGAGCCCTTCTTGAAGGTGAGCTCGCGCGCCGATCGCCCCACATAGTCAAACTTGGCAATAGCCTCGATCGGCTCAGACTCTGCGGGGTCGAGGAGGGCAGAGTGGGAGGTCAGCGCGGTACATACGACAGTCGGTGCATTCCGCCCGCAGTTCACACAACAAGACTTTAGGTGCAGAAGTTTACTTAGTTTTTTTAAATCAATCATTAATTATTTGTTAGTGCCTGTGAAGAAATCACAAAGAACGTGCTCGATCTCATTAGATCTCAGAAGCTAAGCTTCTGAGTTCTAAGCTTCTGAGATCTGCCCTCATCAACCCCACAATTTACAATCAGCAATTTGAGCATGCAGCTCACACAAAAGGTGGGTTGGTCCAAATCTCAGTTGGGGGTTGACACCAACCTTTAATATCTGAGGTTTATACATTGACTAGCGGGAGGTACCCGGCGTTATCCTGGGGGAATAATATATTTCAAAACTTTAAAAACATAACATACATACATACACAAATCCTAAGCTATCGTGAAAGCCTGGCATGCGGTTAGTCTGTCCATTTGTCCGTCAACAAGATTATAAGTCAAAAAAGTTATAGAAAGTGGGGGGTAAAAAGGTGATCTAAAAGGTTTCCGAAAATTGTCGCCCCCCCCACCACCCTCAAAAAATATTTTTACCCCTGCATAGGCATATATATATATCTAAACACCCTACATACCATAGAGTGAGTAGTATCTAGTGTCTCTATAGTAGTATCTGACTCTACAGTAGTAACTACTGATTCTGCAGTAGTATCTAATGACTATAGTGGTACCTACTGAATCGAAAGTGGTATCTATTGACTCAATAGTAGTATCTACTGACTATAGTAGTAACTACTGACTCCATAGTAGTACCTGCTGACTCTATAGTAGTATCTGCAAACTCTATAGCAGTATCTACCGACTCTATAGCAGTATCTACCGACTCTATAGTCGTATCTACCGACTAAGCAACAGTATATACTGACTATAGTAGTAACTGCACACATTGGGGTGGGAGAAGAGGGCATCACACTTTGAAGAATTACCTGAGCCTTGTCTTTTTTTGCATTAAAGCGAATGATAATTTTTCCCCGCCCCCACCGATCGTGCGTGTGCGTTGCTGTGGGAACCACGACGTTTCGTGCATGCCAAGATTCGTGCTTTGGAGCGCGCTCAGCCTAGTAATATAATAATGTAAAGTACTACATTGTCAATTTAACTACTTTAAAGTTAGAAATGTAAACCCCAGTTTGTGAGTTAAAAGCGTCGCAAGTTGCGTACACAGACAGACAGAGGGACACACAGACAAAAAATGACTTTTATAGGTAAGAATTAAAAATACTTGCAATAATAATTTACCTAAATAATTTTTTTACAAAAAAGACCCATTGGCATTGTACCGTTTAGCCATGTTACTTCGGGGGAAAACGTTTAACGTGCTACATGTAGAGTTTTACACACAATAACCCTAATATTTAGAATTCATATAATTATATATTTAAAGCAATTTTATGATAAATGAAAAGAACTTTGATCATTACCTGATTAATTAAAATAAAACCCAACGTGCGGTGGAAAAAAAAGCGCCAAGAATCGATTCTTTAAATCGAGCAAAGGAATCAAAGGTTGTAGATTTCTTTAGAATCGGCCTATTCCCGTTTAATCGATACCACAAAAGCTCACCAGATATCGATTCTCGCCAGTCCTGTATGCGGGTTGACGTCTATTTTTATACTTTTTGCATTGTGTACAGTCTGGAAACTACCCACATGCCAAATTTCAAGTTTGTTGCATGTCGGGAAGCATGCTAAACATTTCGAACAGACACACATAATCACAAATTTCCATTTTATATATAGTATATAGAACTACCGTTTCGTGGGAAATCAGCAGCGGTTGCCCTATTGCCCTATGTGTTGACTATCCAAACATGAAAAGTGGGGGTGGTGGGCAGGATGTGTTCAGAAATCACTTGCCACTGATTTGCAGGAAATCGAACTTTGGAAGTCAGGTTCAAAGTGCAGTGCGCGCTAAGCAATGGGCCACCGCTCCATCCGTATATAGCCATGTGTTAAACATAATCCCCATGAGCAAAACACTCGCATGTATATGCAACATTCAATGCAGCCAGCTTAAAATTCAGTGTAATTAATAAGTTCCATATGCTACCACCGACATAATTTAATTATTACAATGCCCTATTCAGCTGTTTTTCAATCACCTATGTTTTGGCATTCCAGAAATAAAACAATTAACAACAGCGTCGTTTATTGGCCTCCCGGCACATTCCCAGAAGCCAGGCGGACAGGCTCATGCAGCAGAGCCGAGGGCAGTCACAACACACACCCGGAGACGGCCAGGAATGTGAATTGCCTCCAGACACAAGGGAAAAGGCCGCGAAATTAAACGGGTTGAGGAAGTAGAACATTAAGACTAAAGTTATGGGCAATCAACGTTGTGTCAAAAATTGCCCTGTGCCACAGCCAATTGAATGCCAGCAGTTCAGAATTTGCGCGAGACAATAAACGGGTGACTGTGAAAGATGTAGCAGGCTCACGCACGCACGCGCAGTAAGGTAGGTGCGTGTGTGCGCAGATGAGCGGGCGCATGCCGTGCGAAGTTAAGCAGGCGAGCGCTCTGCACACACGCCTCGTTTTTAATACCAGTTTGTGCGTGTTCATGAGGGTTATCACGCTACAATGCACAACACTGCAGATCTGTAACCCAGGAAGCTTACCGTCACAAGCGCCTCATTTGATTTTGGCACCAATCGTTAATATTTCATTTATATATTTTGTGTGAGACTCCTTTCATCGCCACGATTTTTTTCATGCAGGAAAGAAAAACAAATCCTCAAGAGTGCAATTTTAGTAAAAAGGTACGCTTGAGGAATAAAGCGGCGTGTGTCTTTTTTGCCGAGCTAAGTGTCCCCCCCATGTGAGAAGTTTTTACCATCATCGCTGGAGCGAGGCTCTGTGCCAGTGTCAACGTCCACCTCCTCCGGCAGCGTGGAGCCACAGGGCAGCCCATCACTGGCACGTGCATACAAGGACAACCGTTATACACATAGGTAGAGCTAGCAAACACCCTGGTATGGCCGGAGCAGGCTTGGTTTGAGAAAGGCTGTGCCCCCCCCCACCCACCCCCCCCCCCCCCCCAGTGTTACAAAGCAACTGCAAAATCAGGATTTTGTTCCAATTTAAAATGTTGTGGTCTTTAGCTCGATTCATGATACGAGCTGGGAGTGGGGGGCTTTCCTGCGCGGTGCAGTAGGCGGGGTAGACGCAGGAGGCGGGGCCACAGATGGAGGGGATGCCAGCTCATATCATGAATCACTCGCTGGGCGAGTGATTGAGTGAGTCTAGCTTTGTAGCAGGAGGCAGGGCTCACAGATGGAGGGGATGCCAGCTCACCACGTGTCTGGTTCAGCCTCCCAGAAGTTTGGCAGCTTTACTATTTAGGCCGCCGCAGTACGTGGCCAGGCGGCATTGGGCAGCGGGCACACAAATGCAGCCGTAGGTTTTCTTACCCCGTTCCGGCAAACTGAAAGCTATTTGCAACAGCCAATTTTCTCATGTTAAAGTGTTTCCCCCCCCCCCCCCGATATTTCACGTTGTACATTTGAAATACAATTGACATATAATGTATAACATACATACAGCTAACAGAGCCCCAGCAAAGAGGCGTGGCACATTGCAGGCTCACCCACCAGTAATCTTCGCCCGTCATGCACTTCTCGTAGATGGGACCCGGGAGGTCGCGCTGCCCGGGGAAGATGAACTCGTGCTGCTGGATGACGCTCTTCATGAGCTCGTTGACGTGCGTCTGAGACGACACCAAGTCTTGGTCGTCGGGCGCTTGCATGAGCGTGGGGCCAAAGCACACGGCCAGGTTGTAGGGATCCATCATGTTCTCGTCGCTGTAGTGGGAGAGGCTGCGGACCGCAGTGGGGGGTGGGGGAAGGAAAAGGGGAGGGGACTTAACGATTCCATTAAGGCCTACAAGGTTTGCATTGCATCATGCACATCGCTGATTCGTTCAATTCAACGAACGCACGGCTGTGTGTGTGCGGTTGCTTGTGAGAATGTTATGCTGAATTTACACAGTAGGCCAAGCAACGATATCCGTTACACAGAATACGTTTATTGCTTATATTTGGAGACAGGTGCATACTTTTGAGCCATTACAATCAATCATACCCAACAGCTAAATTTATTAATTCACCACAGGTTAGGGAGGAAACAAGAGTACCAATGTAGTGATATCGAATAAGTCACTACGGCATGTAGCGCTGGCTGCTGGCAAAAAGGAGCCTGGCTGCCATGCCAACCCTGTCCGCCAGAGGTGAGGGGGTAGGCGGGAGTAAGGGATGTGGGGAGAAGGGGACGGAGGGGGTACGGGAGAAGCCCGGGAACCTTCTAAGGGGTTCTAGAAGGGGGGCGTAGCCAAGGGGGTGCGAGGCTGCGCTGGGGGGATATAAGGGGGACCACGGGGAGGACTCGGGGCCGTGGTTGGAGTGGACCCCTGGAGCCCGTCTCGTCCCGTCTCCGTCATCGGCAAGATCGTCTTACCCTAGTCTCAGCGTTGTGGGTCAGGCAGCCGTTGCTGTCCTGACCTTACTGTAAGTATTCTCAGCGTCGGCAAAGGCTATCAATAAACAGTGCCTCCTAATATAGTGTCTCTCCAGTCTGTCACTACACCTGGATGAAAGAACATATTAAGATATGGAGATAACTCTTAAAGGTCTGCACAGATAAGTGACTAACCTACTTGATATGATGTCGCCTAGAGGCACCACAACCTCACTGTCCTCGAGGCGACTACCTCACACACAATCTCCACGCGATCCACACAAACACAACCTACAGAGAATGACGGATAACTGGCACGCACCACTGTGCGTCATTGCTTTCTCAACAGGGTGAAGAATGGGCTGGATAGCTCAGGAATTCATTGAGAATCTGGGATTGAATCCTGGCAGAGGCACGTCATTTAATCACGTTCTCAAGTGTAGCGAGCTGATGGTCTCAGCCCAATTACCAATGACTACACGAAGGTCCTCCATCACGTTAAATTTGGCTCTCTTAGCTTTTCATTTCACGTTGACAATTCCAGCTGTGAGACTTACAGTTCCGAATGGAAATTTCTTATCTCATGGTGTGATGCCGATATTACAAATAAAATGCAACTTTGGAAAAAACTATGGGGAAAATAAAAAAACAGGCAGGGGTGTGTGTGCACAACAACGAACGGAGCGCCGGGTGGCTAAAACACAGCAAGCTGGCACAGTCGGTGGCACAGGTGGTGCATCGGCCAGTCATCCCAGTCAACCCATGGCACCTGGGTCTGTCCCAGGACCTCATGCCAGCGGGCGTTCGACACTTGACGCGGCCTTAAAATGCGCAGAGCCTGGCACAAGCGCCGTGACGACGTCGCCGCAATTTAGCGGCGAATGGCGGTTGTTGTTGTGCGTGCAGTCGCAGAGCTGCTCTACTCACTGGTTGAGAAAGGCGAAGAGATATCTCATGACCACGACGACGGGAGGCGGCAGGGTCTGAATGACTTTGCGGATCCCGGCAGCTCGCTCCGACGAGCTTTCGATTTCTGCAATCGGCAAAGCGACAACGCAATCGTCAAATGGCATTGCGAAGCGTGCAGCTTTGACGGAATGAGCGCTGCATCAGAAGTACAATGCTGATTTATACAGCGGTTGCATGCCACCGCATCTCAATGCGCTGTCCAAAAACGGTTGGGAATTTTTATTTTGTAGAGAAAACAGGTGGATGTTCAACTTCTTTCGCACACTATGTATCCAAGCATGCTAATCGGAGGTGGGCGGGGTCAGTTATAGGGACAGGAAAAAAGGAAGGGTTTGAGCCTGGACTTGAACAGCGCAGGGAGACAGCCATGTTGGGGACAGCGGAAGGCAGTTGCAGAAAATGGGGACAGAAGCAGAATGACAAATAACTGACACATGCCACACAAACTGGTATTTTAATTTACCTGATACCACTGATTCAGAGTGACCTTGAACAATTTCTCTGACTATGAGACTTCCAAAGTAAGCTATGAACATCATTGGGTAACTGTGGGAAGTCAAGCCACTTCCACACACGCCAAGTGTTTCGGGAATGTCTTCTGGTTTGCATAATTATGTTAAGTTACCAAGTGATGTATATTATAAAATGCAATGGAAAAAGGTTGCAGGTTACTTGTTACACACTGGAATGAGTTTGCTGTTTTTCTACATCCATTTAAATGCAGGTCTCCATAAAAAAGAGACATCTGGTGTCAATTGGCCCTTAATTGGTCACAAAAAAGGTCACATATCACTATCCCATAACAAAAACGAAACAATTAAATAAAAGTGATAAACTGATGCATTATTTCAAGGAAATAACATAAACCAGAGGAGGTTTCACTATGTGTCCCAAATTAATGTTGTGTTGTATGCAATGTTAGGATATAAGAGAACAAACAAGCCTGTAAACAGATTTTAGAATTAAAACAAACTGGCAGTGCTTCCAAATGGCTGTCACACTGAATTATCATTGCTATTCGAAGCCAGCTTACAATGGTTAAAACTATGCCACTCTTTTGCATAAGCCAGTCAGCATCGCTTAATGGCCAATTAATTGGCCCCCGGTAATAGAATTACCGTAATAAACTTTACAATGGAGGACCATCAATAGAGAGCGACACAGGGCTGTATAAGTTGGCGACGATATGTGCAGGGTGGATTGGGGTGAGGAATTGCCAACAGGGACACACTGACGCAGAGATAAGGGGGGCTTCCCTTCAACTCCACAGGGCCCATTTGCAAACCAGCCCAGCAATTTAATTTAACCCCGAATAACAGTTATAAATTGTTCATCACTGACTCTCAAGGCAAATTTCAGGAGGGTCCTGACGGGAATGTTTGGCCAGTTCTGCTTTGAGCATTTAATCTAAATTGCCTGGAGAGAAAACACGTCCAGAAATTCGGACAACACTCAATCTTGTCATAGATGATGCAGAAAACTAAACTTGATGTCACGCCGCTTACAGGCACCTCACTGCCCTGCAGCAGGTGCCTACCTCGCACACATAACCTAATCGCCATTCACCGACGCTGCCTCCTGGTTGCTGGATTAGCGGTGTGCACAATTGTTCTCCACGCTGCATCGTTCCCTAATTCCCCCAATAAAATAATCAGAATGCACCAGACCTCATCATATCCCAGAAGCTAAGCAGATTTCAGCCTGGCGAGAGCTTGGAAAGGCGACCACAGTACATGTTATATGCCGCGAAGCTACGTTGTGGGCAGTAGAGGGCAGTACAGCAAGATCCATAATTGTAATGTATTTCAACACTCCCATGTCTATATCTGACTGCCTTCACTAACCCGCATTGGTAATTGTGGCCAAGTATGGTTATATAACCTCCACAACCCCGCAAAACAGACAGGCCCTCATCCAGCAGTGGATTGACAAAAATGGCTCTACACATGTACACACAGCTTAAATAGAATCGAAAAAAGCCCAGTGCTGCTTCTTTACGATTGATGTAATGTACAAAACGACAGATTTATCCTAATAATACTCAGTGGTAAAAGCAGGTGAGTGTTTAAAAACCAAAAATAACCATCATTCAGATGTCAATCCTTGTGCTGGGTAATATGGATATGCCAGCTCTGGCTCATAAAACCTCTTGTCCTTTGTGTCATTTGCCATTTATCGTTCCGTTGCACATATTACCACTATCACAACCTTACTCTAACCTTGCTGTGTTAATGGCTTCGTGTGAGAGTTATTGACTTTCTGGTGGCGTCTGCGGGAAGCAGATTGAACGATTTGAGTGATGTTATGGGATTACATGAGACGTCCATGCTCATTACGGTCTCCTGCTAAAAACAAAACAAATTCCACCCAAAATAATTAAAGGCCACTGCTCCTCTTTAGACAAACACAAAATCATATTTTTAAAGATACTATAAAAACTTGAGGGCGACTGTGTAGCCAACTTGCAGGATTGGCAATTTGCTGTGTGGGTGACTTACTGTCCGGTTTGACGGGTTGAAGGTGATTAATGCGACCCTCAGAGGCGGGGGGTTACTCCTTACGTCTCGCTACGCGGTTGACTCACTGTGCGGGCGTATCGCAGTGTGGGGCGACGGGCGTGGGCGATTCGTGCGATTAACTCCGTGTGGACGAGTCACTACGTGGCCGAGTCATAGGTGGTTCATCGCGTGGGTGCGTTAACTGCCAGGGTCACGTACGGACGCAGGAGATGAGGTCGTGGAACTTCTCCTTCGGGAAAAGCGGCGTCTTCATGCCGCGGAAGTAGAGCTTGAGCACCCCGGCAACGGAGTTTATATCGCGACTGCTCTGCTCGTCCTCCAATGGATCATCTCCTGCAAAGGCACCAGAATACAGCTCAAGGAACTACGTACGTGCCGAGCCTCGGGTTCAGCCTCCGGACTCCAGTTTTGCAATGGAACATTTAAAAAAATGCAAATGAATGTTTGATTTTATTATGCTTGCTTAGCCAGGAAAGTATATTTTGTCTAACCAGGTGAGAACTCAGGATAGTCTCATTTGCAAAAGTGACTTGGGGCATTGGTCTGCCAGTGGGGGGGGTGAGGATTGCTGTGTATAATCCCAATTGAATATTTGCACGCAATGTTTTTATTTAGCAAATATTGATCATCGACGCTGGCACACGATGGCACTCTTCTGAAGGACATCAGGGGATCTTTAACGTCTACTTTGAAGCAGACAGAACGTTGTATTATGGTTATTACACCCGAAGTAATAATCAGGGAAGTCTCACTGAGTATTAAACCTCTTTTTTCAGGAGGCTCCTGCAAAGTTTTCTGAGTAAGGGACATAATGTAGCTACGTGTAATCCCAATTGATCAACTTCAAGATACATTTTCAGCATTGGGAAGTTTGGCTAATACCGGTTTCATTGTGTGGTATTTTTTTGGTTAAAGCCATGGGAGGAAACTGGAGGAACTCATGGAGAACACAAGGGGACAGTACAAACGCCACATAGGAAGGCACCTGAGTCAGGAATTAAACACAACTTCTTGCTGTGAGGCACAAGTACCACCACTACACCATCCTGGTGCCATAATTGTCGGTTGGGTTTTCCATTTCCTCTAATTGTGCCAATTCTCGCATTGCAAAAGAGGGGGATCCACGGAGGCAGACGCTTGTACTTGGAGGCAACACGTTTATTACACACCCCAACAGGGTAACTACTTCAACTACATAACACTCAGGTCAGTGAAGTACTGCCTGACCCACGATGTTGAATGTGACGACCGAGCCCGAAGAGCGAAGAGCGTAGCACAACGGTTTGATTCCAGAAGACAGCCAAGAACGCTCCCGGGACAGCCCCTTTATCCTCCTGGGCGAGGCCTCGCTCCGGCCTCAGCCACGCCCCCTTCGGGATCTTCCCAGAAGGTTCTGGGTCCTTATATCACATATCCCTTTGGTCCCCTTCTGGCCCCCGCCCTTATCCTATGCAGGTCACGTGCCCTCTTGGGTTCACCTAGATTGTCACGTATGCCATACGTACTCTGGTGACAGAGAGAGGCTCTAAGATGCACAGTTACACGCTTCTCTTTAGCTGGCGAAACGCCATAGTGACTCAATATCCGTAGCTACAAAGGCACTGACAGCCAATAATTATGAAACTGTGAACCGGAATGCATTTATCATAACTAGAGCTATGACCATTGCTCATGTTAATTGACTCCGAGTAGATATTAAACTGTGGGAATTGAGGTATACGAGTAATTCATGTGTCACATCATGAGAGTATCACGTGGGGCATAAATAACTTTTTCCCATCTCTAATAATCGCCATCATCAAGTAGCAACAACAGGATAATAATCCTTGGGTTATGACCAATTCACAATGAATGTGCCCCATGACCAGATATGGGAAGTGAAGCAGAGATCAGCCTGGTTAGTACTTTGGAAGGGACACCAGGTTGTGTAGGGTTAAGCTGCGAAGTGACCAAGAAATCTGTGTGAAGCTTTGAGTGTTACTCAATAATATTTATGCATGTATGCTGAACTTCTTTCGCACTGTATGTAGCCAACCGTGTGTGGTAAGCTTATACTGAGTACTCAAGTTCTCACTCACGGATGAAATGGCCAAATATCCCAATCCTAGACTCTGTTAAAAAAACATCTTGAGACTCAGTGAGGCTTTCTTGGAGAGAGGGAGACCACCATCTTTTCCCCGACCACTTATAAATGTATGTATAACTTCTTTCGAACCGTACATAGTCAACCGTGCTAATCGGAGGTGCGGGGGAAGGACAAACTAAACACAAAAAGCAGTTCTAAAGAAATTATTTTTCAATCTAGATTTTTTTTTTAAATGAGGGCACAACTATTCTCCAATCATCAAACTAAGTAACCGAAAGAAGCTTCTCTCTTGGCTTGTGCAGCCACAAAGCCATTCACTTGACCTCATTTGTAACACTTTACCATCTGACCGCAAATCGTTGACTGTACGAGCGTCAGCATTTTCTGCCCTCGACTGTCCCCAGCAGCACTCTCCCCGGCCCTCCCCGCGGCGGTGTGGGAGGGAGAGTCGATGGAGACAAGGACCTGGAGTGAACTCAATATTCTCTGGACCAGTGAGTCGATAGATGTGGGCTTATTTGTGACCTCGCGTTTTATGGATTTGAAGATTGATAGACGACTACTCACATATTGTAATTTTTTTAGAGTAACATTCACTTTTAAAATTTACCACCACCATAAATCTGAATCTCTGCAATGCGGATCTCTTTTTGCCCCCCTCTCTCTCGCTCACCCTTTTCTATTCAAAAGCTTCAGTATATTTAACAACTTTTGCAAACGATCGCTATTTTTGTGCACGGTATCATGCGGTAACAGCACAGGAGCCACACAAACACCACCTGTGCTGATTAAACAGAACTGTCTGACTTAAGACACCCAAGGCATGACGCTTCGTTGATTTTGTGCCAATATTTTAACACTCTGAAGGTTGTAGTGCTGAATTAGTGCTCGTGTTTATGCGATGCCGACACGTTTTAACAGGTTACTGTCGACACTATCTTTCTAACATTCGACCAAAATGCTAATTGTGATGGAAGTAGTGCAACACAAACTGCATAATGAATTAATGATGACTTGAATTACTGCATGAAAAAGGCATTAGTCAATGTTGGCTGCATGCCCTTATAAACAGGATGAACCTATCAAAATAGATTTTTTTTGTTTATACCACAGCAACGTGTCAGTCACATTTATAGGATTATGTTCAACCAGAAATATTCCAAGCATTGTCTTGCAGCAGGTTTGGCACAAAGACATCCTCTCCAGTACATAAAAGGACAATTTTTTTTATAAACTATTCAATTCAACTCTAAACTATTTTTATTTTATCAGGTAAGGCCCACTGAGCAATGTAGCTCTTTTTTTGGAAGCAACCTGGCCACAAATGATAGCTCAACAAAGTAGCTTATCACCACGTGGTAATGTATTGCAACCAAATACTCTGAACGCATGTTGATTCTAAATGTGGAGGAAAAAAATAATCTATTTGTTTCCACATCTGTATAACCTCGTACAATTAAAAGTTAGTAAAACTTGTCTATTAGCCCATCAATAGTGTGGTTTGCTGCTGGCTGGTGAGTTGTTTGGGCCTGTGCTCGGCAACTGTGATATAATAAAAGCTGTTGCTTAATGATTTTAGCCAGCAACAGGCGAAATCCAAAATAAAGTGCATTTATCCATTTTGCAACTAATAATGCTTAGTTACAAATGTTCTGACAAAAGCATTCACGAGGGATACTCGAAGTCATTTAGGATAAAATTCACGTCTTTACCACTTTCAAATGATGCCTTTATCTCGTTCACTTCCACTTGAGAGCCGGGTACTCTGAATATCCCTTGATGCTGTAATCCTATAGGGACAAGAAGCAGAGTTAAGTGCCAAAGTGCAACTGACATTAAGCACGCAATACAACTCTTTTCTTTGAGGACGTAATGACGCATCGATTAACATTGAATTTTAAGGTGAAGAAACGTGAATTGAATAGTGTGTGCGTGTAAGAATCAATGTTTCACGATTTGTATATCCTGTAATGGGTTCATGTCACCCCTGCATCCACTTGAGGTGCTACGATTGACCGCAAAACAGAATCAATGATCGGATCAAATCCTGACCCTCATCAAACTGCTGGGGAGAGGGAAATAATTTCACCCTTAATATGCACCTCCTACACATTCCACAAAAACAAAGATCTTCTGTAAAGCCTTAACATACTTTTGTGGCAAGTACTATTTGCGTGCACCTATGAAAGCCGGCACTGCACACAAATGGGGTGGGTGGCCAGCACTATGCCCGACCGCCTTTGTCTCCCTAGTGGTGATATTTACACCGCACCAGGTACTCATTTGAGGTTGAGTCGCCCTAGGGGAGGTCCGGGATCGGTTCAGATATGTCACACAACGCAAAAACAAGTAAACTCTGCACACAAACACTTACACCACACAGACGCAGGACGCAAGGTGAATCGCCAGGGGAATAGAAATTGAAATGTGTTACACCCCTTTTGCGTAATGTCTCTCTTGTTGCAAAAAAGGCCACACCATCCTACCCACTACTTAATTTTGTACACTATTGCTGGACTGAATCGTATGCTATTCAAGGTTTTTTTAAAGAAATCGTCCCTGTAATGAGGCACACTTGCAGCACTTTTTTCCATAGACAACACTGATTATGAGACGCAGGTAGTCGAAATGTATGTACTTTTTACGTGTTAAAAACAAATGATGCTAAAAAACACTGGTTTGGAAGCTTCAGAATGACTGACCTATACCCAATTTATCAGCGATTTTAAATAAGATAATTTATTCAGATTTCACCAAGCGAACGGGTAATAAATGTTTGGTCTCCAATGCTCTGGAATGTCGCATTGTCCTTTTTTAAGCCTTAAGGTCAGAGTATATCTTATTGAAGAGTAATGCCTAACAAATGCATTTTTAAAACAACTTTTTTTCTCATAATTCTAAGTGCTGCAGCATTAACATATTTAAAGAATGATTGCAACAAACAAAAAAACACTCAATGTGGCTTGCCATGTGCACACTCGTACGAAAGACTTCTGCGCTGTGCGTTTTCACGCTAAACGTCTGAACAATCCAGCTCACGCTCGCACCTCCGATGCAGGAAGAAGCTGCGATTGGGGGGGGGGGTCCTCCAAAAGGGTCATTTGGCAATTCACCTTTGGTAGGTTCACTCGCCATGATTGAATGTGCGTTGGGAGTCTGTGGTGCACGGTTTGTTGGCGATTTGAGGCCGTCATACCGTAAAGGTTAATGAAGCGAATGCAGCTTTCCACAACAATGGGGATCGCCTGGCCTGAATCCTGTAACACAACAGGCGAGCATCCGTGCTTGCACCATTACGTCAGTTTGTGTTTAATTGGTAAATACTACTCGATAGAGGGTGGTCGGGCGGGGGAAGTATTGGTGCTGTGGTTAGCGTGCTGCGCAGACCCTCGCGCCCAGAGTTTCGATTATTGGCCACAGCTAAAATCGGTGGCAAGTGGATATATAAAGTGGTCCATGGCCTTCACTTCACCAACCTGCACTGACCAGCATGGTGAAGTATGGTAACAAAAATATATATCCATAAACCACATTACACAGGGAAGGGCCTTAATTCATCAGTGTATTGATGTAGGGCTATAAAGTATATTAACTACTGTTAGAAAACAAATGCTACGTTATTACACGTGCAAATTGATTACATATTAAATACAAATACAGTTTTTTTTAAATATTAGCTCCAAGCAAATAATTTTGTTTTAAATGTATGAATAAAAAATTATACTCCCACAATAATTAGTTAAAGCATTTTTGGTGCTGTATTCATATACCGAAATTAAAATCAATGCGCTACCTTTAAATCAACAATAATGTTAAATCAAAGTTAAAAGTTTGAAACAAGACAAAAGGCATAGCAAATAAGCGCACGCGCACACAACAATTTAACAAAGTACAAACTCAAAGGCAAACATCTTCGCTAAATCTAGTGGCTATCACTGCAGATTCAACACGGCCGTTGAGACCACAGCAGCCAGCCCACTCTCTTAAGCGATGGCAGCTCTCCCATGCACAAGGGAAGTGTCTTATCTGCTGTCCAAGGGCGTGGTGAAACACAGGATGGATTGCAGAAGTCCCCTCTCCATTTGATTGAGCGTAGTGTGCCCCTTACATGCTATCATCCCGGCTGCGGGGGGGGGGGGGGAGATGGTTCCTCATTGCAGCCAAATGATAAACACACGTAGGAATACAAAACATGTGCAGCTGAAATGGCCGACGCTCACCAGGACTTACATGACCACTTTATGGAATTGTTAAAATATTCAGTCATTTTAATTGTAATTCATATATACAGCATGTCCATAGAAGTATCATCCATTATCAAAGAATTATAATTCAACTAAGAATGCTCCCGATGTGGTCAAGATGTCAAAATCTAAGTGTGTTTGAGCCTGGATAGTGCTTGGGAGGGTGATCCACCATGCACACCAGGATGTACAGGCAGATGCAGCGTTCTGCTACAGAGGCCAGTGGAGCAACATCCACTTTTGTGCTGAAATTATTTGCTTTCATGCTATGCTCCCCATCTTCACCCTAACTGACCAGCTTGTTGAAGTATGGTAAAATAAACCCCAAGATACACAGAGTGGGGAGGCCTTCATCCAATAGTGTATTGACAAATGCAGTTTGAGCTGGGTGTATAAATTATATGGTAGAATGCACATTCCATGGGTCTTATTCTTCAAAAAATGTCGACCATGGCATTTGCGACGCACTCCTTAATGAGGTACGAGAGAGTACGAGAGAGTGCCAGGTGTTTTTTCTTTTAATTTAGATTTTTGTTTTATATTTTACGTGACTTTACTGAAAGAACCAAGGATATGGAGGATTCCAATGAGCTATAAAAGCTCTTTTTCACAGATGTCAGTAGGGGCGGGTCAGCAAGTTACAACAACAAAAGACTACATGTGACTTCATTTTTATGCTATGTGTTGTTGAAGATCATTCAAGCTTTGTTTTTGGCACTTCAACACAGAGCCTTAACATTCATGCAGCTAATAATTCTGTCCAATTATCATGCTTTAATAATGGATGATATTCGTGGATATCCTATATATAAGGTACGATGGTTTTCCATGTTAAAATGTTGGCCATTGTGCCACATCTATTATTTAGAGATTAGTTGCTTAAATCAACGGTTACATGGAGGTTGTGTCAATGCATCTCTGCAACCTTATAGAATGAGTATCTTGCATGGCCGGAATGGAAAGTGACTGTTGTTGACCATGGCATGTTGTTATAAAAGCAAACGGAACACCCACTTTGTTGTCTGGGAGAGCTGTGGAGGTTTAATGGACCGTTATCACGAGCAACCTTTCACCTTCAAATGAGGCCATGGTGGATGGATTTCTAAAAGTATTTGCTTTAAATACTGGGGAAGGTCCAGCCTCATTGGGCTTGTGGACACTACCAAATTGGGCACAAAAGACATATCTAAAGTAGAACTGGAAACCATTACAGGGGGTTCTGAAGCTACATTTTAGATTTTTAACATAAAAGTATTACATTTTGCAAACAGAAAGAGTACAGGTGGCTAAATTATGGAATCTGTTGACAACAATAAAAACATTGCTTTGGAGTAAATTGTTTCCAGATAAAAGTTAACTTAGATAAAAAAAAGTGCTCAATCAATTAGGCTACTAGGCGTTCAGAGGATTAGAGTGGAGCATTTGTGGGAGCAACGGGGGATATGCGGACCCCATGGGAAACAGTAGCGAGCGCAGGAAGCGACAGATGGGCCGAGTCGTCTGGCAATTATTGAATTTGCATATACAGTAATAGACCTTAAAAAAAAGCATTTAACAAACAAGTCTGCTCGACAAAATAAACTGCCACCATGGCCTCGATTTGGTGTGGGTGATGGTCGCTGCGGTACGGATACACGCAGAGCGTCGCAAAAAACTCCGTGCAGATAGGCGACTGCGCGGGGGCGATGGTACCTGTTGCCTGGAGCGAAAACTCCGCTTCCCGCTGCAAGCCACAGGGTTATAGCAAGACGGCAAAAGCGGGACGGAGGGGGGGTGGGGGAATAAAATAGACGAAATAAAAAATCACGCCAGAGCTTTGTGGATGCAGGCGGCGGCGGCGGCGGCAGCGCGCGACCAAAGCCCCAACCCCAAACGACAAGCGGCCATCAGTGCAGAGGAACTGCGAATGCTCGTGAAGCGGCAACAGATCTCGTGAGAGGTTCGCAAGGAGAGTCGAGCGGCTCCATCATCAGCAGCACAAGAGCGTTCATGCAGCAGCGAGCGCAGCCCAGCCGCTAGGGTTTTTTTTTATTAAGGCAGATTTTTGCACTCGGCGCCAGAAAGGAAGCACGGCGTGACCAGCACTGGCTCGGCGGTACCTGTATGTACGTTTCCAAATCACCGTTAAACAGTTTTACGTTAAACACTGAGCGCGGCCTAGGCTTCCTGAATTTCTGCACTGTGTTGGAGGCAGAAGTTGGCCTGAAAAGGTGGACACAAAGGTTCAACTGTGTTTAAAAAAAATGGATTAAATACATGGTGTATATATGCACACAGAATGGGTAATCTGCAAGTTGAGGACAAGATACAAGTCACTTAAATCTATAACTATAGCAAAAAAGTGGCTGAGAAATTTTACAAATCCACATTTTTAAAACAATCTAAGAACTATGTGCAAACTATCTCATCTTTAAAATTATTTGACTGCACAATATACAAGATAGCCTACTTTTAGATAGCATAAACTAGAGCCTACCCTTACTTATGGATTAACTTGTTTTGACTTAAAAACCCAACAAACATTACACCAACTGAACATATATTGCATTAATTCCAGTCAGTAGTGCATATTTAAAAGCAAAAGTACTCTAAAAAAATAACTGAAAAATATTTCAAATATTATTATTTTACCAAAATGAACATGAACTGGAATTTAAACAGTTATATAAACCAATACTCAAAAGCTGAAACTGTAAACAAACGCCACCTTACCCAGTGTTCATACATTCAGCCTTCTCACCTACAACACACACAGACACACAGGACACACAAATAGCATCACAATCTGAGCACAAGCAATAGTTAACTGCTTTACATTGAGCCCTGGGTAAAAAAAAAACGAACGACGTTCTACACTGCAAGTTCACTGCTGTCTTTAATATTATTTTTGATAGCGTAAGCTCACTTTCATCCAGTCCTTTCTGCAGTAGGTCATGCTTCGTTTGCAGCTTGTTGATGAGGCTGCTCCTGTCCATGTACTCTTTGAATTTCTAGTGGCACAAAAGAAACGAGCGTTAATGATGCTCTGGCCGTCAACAAACGTGCATTTTGATGTCAAGGCCATGTGGCTCCATCACTTAGCAGTCTTAAAAAAACGTGCAACGTGTGAAACCAGACCAAGCAAACACAATGAAAACAGCACACTATGCTCGAGTGCACTTTCAATAACCATAAGAGTTTTGTAAAAGCAAGCATTAATAATGTAAGAGAACGATAAGACAGCTGAGGCTGTCCTTTGCCAGTATCTAACATTTAACACAGCTATAAGAGACCATTATCGTCACAGTGATGTTTAAGTAATTAAGACAGAACTTAATGCTAAAAGGGTTGGTTGATTTGCTAACAATTGAGGGCCAATTCTGCAGCAGCAATTCAGCTGCTGTAAAGTAAAGCAGCTATCAGCAACAATGTAATTATGTGCAGTTAAGTGTCCAGTAATCTGTGTTATGCTCTGGACTGAAGATAATACATTTCACAATCACTTAGGGCACCTCGAGTAAAACCAAACAGTGATGATCAGTGACGATTAATAGACGTCCTTAAGATGCCAGGGTGGTACAAAGGTCAGAGCACTAGGCTGGCTTTGAATATAGCTTTTGGCCACCTGCAAATGAACTTGGTTTTCAAGTGTACCAAGTCCATTATTTCAGCCCAGTCACGAATGACTGCACATATAAAAAGCTATCAAATCAAGTTTGGTTCTGCACTTCATTTGACAAAATTCCAGCAGTGAGAATGAAAAATATCAGATTCATAAATGTTACTCTCTCTACTATTTATCAATATACAGAAAGTCTCTCATGGTCATCTCTGTGATATTATGTTCCATGAGCCATTCTAACATAGGGTTGCAATGATCTGAGAGATCGAAATAGATACTTTATATCGAGCAGTCCAACACTAAACGATATAACATGTTATTTACATCTACTTTTGATGATGGTGAATGTAATAACAAAATATTCAGCCTTTTTTACATATGAAAAACTGTTAATTAGGTTATTTAGCCTCTCATTACCATATTTTCCTCGGGGCATTTCATCAATTAAACCTTTAGGAAGAAATTACACAGGGAAGACGTTGGAAAAAAAACACGTGCAATGATGGTGACAGATGATGGAACTACTGCCCGCACAAGTCGCTATCCCAGGAATTCTGGGTTAAAGGTCAGACAGGTTGTCAAGTGCACATACTAAAGTTGCAGCCACGTGTGGCACAATGGCTTCTAGCGGAAATGCAATTACAATAAGGGGGTAACGCTTCACATATACCATTGCATTTGCTGTGTCTTAACCACACCACTCACTTTTATTAGGTAAAAAATATAAAAGTGTAGCCCTGGAATTGTTCACTCATGCCACTGCTGGCCTAAGGGCCTCCACTAAATGGAGCTGTAAGGCCTCTCTCTCTCTCGAGAGAGAGAGGGTATTTTGGCCTATTCTTCTACACTGGCCAGACATCTTGGAAGGCAGGGGAGGATTACCCGCATTTTACCCCACCACACACAACCTGCCGATCTACGAAGAGAAAAGATCACTTTCTTTAATAGAGGTCCATGAAGAAGGAGTAAATCTTGGAAAAGAGAATAAAACTCAAATTAGAGACGTAATTTAACATGAGAAAAATGGTATTGCTAGACCCAAAGATGGATGAGACTGGTGATGCAATATCAGCTCAAGGAAGGAACATGCCCGGACAGGGCAATCACCATGGAGATGGATCAATGAGGTCAGCTTGTGTGCAGGAGTGAGATGGATTGTGTGGCATGGAGGGATCTTGAGGGGAGGTGAAGTCGTCGGTAGGCTTCCATTCAGCAGCGAAATATGGCTGATGATATTAAATTAAACAAGAGTTGGACGGCGACATTGTCTCAAGGTAGCACATTCGCCACTTGTTTGCAGAGGTTCACGGTTCGAATCCAGCAGCCGCCCCGATTAACAATGCAAGTGTATTACCATGTTATGGCACTATGGAAGTTGAAATTTTTATCATTATCATTACTTTTAATCATCATGCTTCACTTTTGGCCATTAACTACGCCTGCCCCTATCGCTCACAGAGAAGTAGAAGGACTCCGTCTCCTGCTGGTTTGCGCGACGCTTGGCCACGTTGAACTTGCACATGTAGGCCTCGGAGGGCGCGGGGGCACGCAGCGACTCTGTCGACTGGCCATGCTTGAAGGCCTCCGATACGTCATAGTCCTCGGCCGTGAGCATGTCCATCAGGGCCTGCAGCGTGGCCTCCTGCGTCTTCTTGATCTGAGCCAATTCACACGCACGACGAGACCCAATCAATAACAAAAACAGGCACATTCGTTTAGATCCAGGCAGTGGCGATCACGCTTTTTCTGGGACTTCTGGCTATAAATGCAGCTATAACAGGTGGCAGATTTTCTTAATCGTTGGAGATGGCACCACTGTTGGACTTGGCACCACTGAAATGTTGTGTTACAAACCAAGGAGCACCCTGCAATTAAAGACAGTTTTCAAGTGTGGTGAGTTCATGGTCTCATTAATGAGTCCAACAACAAAAAAAACATGCACCACATACATTTTCATTCTGCATTTAATTTTGATAAATTCCAGCTATGAAAATAAAAAAAAGATATATTTAAATGTAATATGACAACATTACTCTCATATAGCAAAGTGGTGGGAAAATTGTGCCTCCTACTCTGTGGACCATGTTGTCACAAAGGGATCTCAGAGGTAGCTCTGTGATATCTGCTTCCGGAAGAATCTGAATGGATAGCAGAATCAGGATAAAATTGGGGAAAAATATATTGCTTAAACCATAGGTGGGGATCACAGCTGATATTATATGCCACGAGTGCCGATGTACACGTAGAATACAATGACTTGGATGTGGGGTTGATAGATCACACAGAGATGCAGCCTGTGTAAAACAGACACAGATCTGCAGGTGAATAATGTGAAAGTAGGAAGTAGTACAAAAAGAAGGTTGCGGATCTGTTTGTGTGGTGGAGTATACGTGTTTCCTTCATGTGTCCACGTACATTTTTAAACTGGCCAAATCTAACAGTCTGAAAAACGATTCGTAAAATGCTTTTTAAGACGAGCGGTCCAATTGTTTTCTCTGCAGAGCGAACAAAACTTGGACTCAAAAAGTAAAACTATTTTTTTTTTACTGTAGGAAACGTATTTCGTAGGGAGGAAATGCTGCTTGTGTGAGATGAACCAACAAATCATAAAAGCGTCTCACACACAAATTAACGAGACACCCTCCACCCCTCCGTCTTAAAGTTGAGGCAAACCAGGGCACGCAGACTCTGGCAGGGCTGTTCCACGTTTCACAAAGACAAAGATCTTCCGTATAGCCTTAACAGACTGTAGGGCCAAGTACTGTTAGCGAGCACCTATGAAGAACGGCACCGGTACACGAGGAGGTTGGGTGACAATCACCATGCCCTCCCGAGGGGAGGCCCAGGACCGGTTGAAATAATCGTCGCTGGTGTTGGCCGTGAGCGGGAATCGAACTCGGGTCGCTGGGTTCGTAGCGCAGTGCGCTAACCGCTACATCACCACTCTTCACACACACACACGTGAGAACTTGACTAAGCGCAGCTCTCCCAGATAAATGCTCACCTCCTCCTTCTCGATCTGGAGCGTCGCCAGGCGGCACTTGAGCTGCTGACACCGCTGCAGGAGCTCAAACTGCAGAGGCGACTGAGCGCAGATCTGACTCGTCTGCACAACGTAACACATACATTCATTTATTCACATTATTTTTCTTTTTATTATTAATAATAAGAGCCTACGATCAAATTACTTGCCCAAACCTGTCAGATCTCGGAAGCTAAGCAGAGGTTTGAGCCTACAGTGTGCACAGCAGGGCTGTGTGGTGGAGCTGTGTGGTAGGTAGTCGAGGGAAAATGCAGCAAAAACTCATTGGTGTACCGTATTGTTTCCACATCTATGTTACCTGCTTTCACCAATCTGTATTTATTGATATGCATGGCATAGAAAGGTCATGTAACTCCCATGACCCAAACAAGTGTAATGACAAAAAAATGCCGTACATGTACATTGTGATGTGCAAGAGCTAAAGGCTGAATAGGCTGTGCTGTGTGATACACACAACTACAAATAGTAGATTTGAAGCTTTCGTGACTGCAAGAATTCACTCTTTGGTTTTTTCGGTAAAGTCACGTAGGTAAAATAGTTGTTTTCATTGATTTTATTTTACCTACGTGACTTTACCGAAAAAACTAAAGAGTAAAAATAGTAGTTTATTAAACCAATACTCTAACAAGTGTTTTGCTCTGTAAATAATACAAACATATGAAGCTATGGGCCTGGAAGTGGCCAGGCGATTCAGAGATCAGAGCACTGAGAGCTGGCATCGCTGAGATCTGGGTACAATCTCAAGACGCACCGAGATGTTCTTGTTTAAATACATTATAAGTTTCTATTGGAAGGTAGCATTCATAACCAACGTGATCAGTTTATTGCGTCCTTGCACACTGTGTGTAATGTTTTAACTTTATTTGAATATGCCTTGTGACCAAAAAAATTATCAGCCAATGAACACATTTTGTTGTGTGTGTATATATATAAAAGCGATAGTGCAGCGGTTACAAACCCAGAGACCTGGGTTCGATTTCTGCTCACGGCCAACACCAGTGCCTATTATCTCTACCAGTCCTAGGCCTCTGCTAGGTCAACTCAGCCTCAAATGAGTACCTGGTGTAATATAAACATGGTCACTAGGGAGACAAAGGTAGCCGGGCATGGTGCTGGCCACCCACCCTGTAATGTGCCGTGCCGGCCTTCATAGGTGCTCGCTAACAGCACTTGCCCCAAAAGTCTGTTACAGCTATATGGGAAAGCTGTCTTATATGTGTAAAACACCAGTTAAATAACTGCTAGATGGAATAGAGTAAGGAGTTTAAAACAAAAATGCCCATTGCCGAGATTGCAGACTTAATGTTGAGGGTATGCGGAGGAGTGAACTTGGAGGGAAATCGAGCGAGACTGGTACCAATTGTCCAATAAAATTGTATTTTACTAATTATGTTTGGTTGCTTCACATTGTCTGAACCCCAGCCGATCACACAATTAGCACCATATGTGGATTGTCTTGGGTTCTGAAGCTTGGGGCGAGAACGCAGCGATAATAGCGGCAACGGCCGTGATGAGAGCGACAATAAGGGATAAGAATGAACACTTAGAATAAACCATAAAACGTTGTATATGGTTGAAGGTTCGCCGAGTTAGCAAGTATCATTAGCAAATGAGAGCCTTGAGATAACAACTACAGGGTACACGTCCATGGTGAACCAAATGATAATATACATATAAATCTATGTGCATGTGCGATGCATGTACACGCACAACCCTACTGTCAATCCACTGGTATAGGGCCGCCCTACGCCGTGTGGGTCATGGGGGTTATTTGACCGTACTTAACCATTCTGGTCTGCATCGGTTTGTGAAGGCGGGCAGCAATGATGTGGCAGCACAGACGTACAGTACAACAACAACAACACTACTGAACAAATCACAACGCAACAATACGAGCAGAAACAAATAAACACCCCCCCCCCCCCCGGAAACGATACGACGCCGGCGATTTCCACTGGGCTCACCTCGTCCCCCATGTGCGGCTGGAAGTCGAAGCGCAGTGGGCGGCAGAAGAGGGTGTCGTAGCTCTCCATGAGGCGAGCCTTGTCGCTGCGCGGATCGAGGGCCTCCACCGCGCGCTCCACGGCACCTAGGCCCGTGTGTCGCGATGCCTCCAGGCCCAGCTCGGCCGAAACGTACGTCTTGAGGGCGCGGGCGAGGCACGCATGGTAGCCCAGGTCACAGCACTGCAAAGACAAAGAACCCCCACCGGTGTAGCCTTAACAGACTGTTGGGGCAAGTGCTGTTAGCGATTATTACCGATAAAGGCTGGCACGGCACATGAGGGAGTGGGTGGCCAGTACCACGCCCGGCCGTCTGTCTCCTCAGTACACACTGCACCAGGTACTCATTTGAGGCCGAGTTGCCTGGGACTGGTTCAGATAGTCGTCACTGAAGTTGGCCGTGGGCTGGAATCAAACTCTGGTCGCCGGATTCATAGCGCAGCGTGTTAACCGCTACACCACTGCTCCGCACAGCATAGCCACGCAAACACTCACACAGGGAGCGCATCAGTCACGGTCGCGCACACACACACCCACCCAGGGGTAATTTCCCACAGAATATTTTTTGGGTCGCCAGTAGAGCGAGAAGTGACAGGTGAATAGTAGCCCACAGCGAGAGGTATCCTATATTTGGTGTGCCAGGTCAATAAATATGTTCAGGGTCATTAATCTGGACAGACCTGGCTGAAAATAAGCCCTGAACCCACGAACCCACAAACAAACCAAGCAACCCAACCAGTGACCCAGCCGCACCCCACAACCCTGCCACCCAGCCACACAGGTCACAGCGAAATTCTTCCCAAAGACATATCTGTGGTGGCCAGAATGCAGCCTAGCAAACCACCTCACTCATTCACAACATTTTAACCTGCAGTCTTACTGTGCAAGGACTCTCCTGATCCGTTTTAGCACTGGACAAGATCATCAGTGGCGAGTGACATCAGAACTGGTCTTGAACCACTCCAAGACAATCCAAATTTTAAAAGAGTTTCCAGTGGTGTGTAACCATAGGCAAAGGAGTCACATTTACACATAGATTGTAAATGTCGTGGATTGGCTTTCCAACACACCAGCGTGCTGGACAAGTAACGAATTGGCATGTTCTGTTTACGTGAAAAACCTTACTAATTGGCTGTGTCGGGTGGCGGCGGGTTTAACAACACATGAATATGAACGTGATCGACACAAAAGCATGGTGCTGGCTATATCACTTCTCTGTAGACAGTGCGGGCCTTAATTGGTGGTCATTAACAGTTGTTGTCCCAACCGTCCATGCTGGCTATGTGTAAAATCTTTGTACATGCGCAAACAGAACTGGGAGATTGGTCGCAAGGTCCAAGGAACTGTGTTCAGCTGCGCAGTGCCAATCTCCTTCATGCTAAATCTCCTATTTTTGGTTCTCGGAAGGCCACGCTCACCAAGAAGGGTTAAACCTTTTCGCCTCCAGCCTAATTCCCTGGCTGTCTGCTCTAAGTAATACCCTTAATTATGAGTAGAGCAGGCAGGCAACGGTCCGTCTGAAAGCTACTGTGCGCAATCATCAGCTCAAATGAATCGACATGCAGTGGCCCTTGATAAAAAAAAAACTACTAGGTAAAAATAGAAGAATATTTTTCTTTCCCCAAGGAATATCTCAACAGTGTTTTTTTTTTCAAGGAGCCAATAGGTTACTAATTGCTATACTCAGGGAAATATCATGTATGTCCATCCATCCAAGAACACTTTGTGTTTCCATGAAAATTACAAAACCAATCATTGCAAAACTTATCACACAGCTTATTAATACTAGTGCCTGATCTCTACAGGTTTTTGGTATGACTGGTCATAAAATAAATTCTGCATAGGAGCATGATTGGCATGTGCGCATGATTGTGAGCTTGTGTGGGTAATGTGTACATTAATTTGCATGTGCGTGTTTCTGTGCGCGTATTTTTCCGTAGCGTAAAACCCCCGAGCACAATGAGGCTCCCTTAATCAACTTGCTTGCGAGCTTGTTTATTTTTCTTGTCACACAGAGGGTCATGGTGGGTGGTACATTGGTTAGCGTACTACACTATAAAATCGGTAACCTAAATTTAAATCCCGACAATGTCTAACATCGGTTTAGAGTCATATCTAAACTGGACCTGGTCACCCAGTGGTGAGTGATATCTTAACTGTTCCTGAGTCACCCCCTTCACCAACCCGCACTGAGCAGCACAACAACAACAACCTCCATTTGCCAATAAGTGGCGGTGACATCACCATGGCACTTGTGCCAGGCTGTGCACTTTAAGGCCATGTGATGTGTCGAACGCCTGCTGGCAGGTCACAGGACAGACCCAGGTGCCATGGGTTGACTGACTGAGATGACAGGCAGATGAACCACCTACTGTGCCAACTTGCTGTAATTTTAGCAGCCCGGCGCTCCGCTCATTGTTGAGCAGCACGGTGAAGTAGGGCCAAACAACCCCCATGACCGACACGGTGTGGGGAGGCCTTCAACCTGTAGCTGACAGGTAATGGGCTGTAAATGTATTTAATTTAATTTGGCAGGCGGAGGTAAAATTGCTCCTATGAAAAGGATATACTAGTACTTACTAAATTGTAGGAGATATTATTTAATAAAGTACAAGTTGGTTGAGGTTTTCATCGCGCTCACAGCGAAGCCAAGTTGCATGTTCAATAATCAAGTAATACAAAGCCTCAAGAACTTTGGAAAGAGGCTATTTCTGGCAATGATGTGCCAATATCATTACAGTCATCAACAGTTGTCAGTATCTATTCACTGTTGTATCAAGCTTTCCCCGGGGCTGAAAGAAAATGCGTTAGATTTTGTACAAAGAATACAACTGTTAAAAGGGTGCTTAACAAAGGATAAATGAGCCTAATGCTCAGCCTGGATATTTATTTAATTATTTCCACACTCTTTAAAAGCTCCCATCTGTTCAACAAATGTGAGCCTTTCTGAAGCTTATATATCACATTAGTAAGAAATTAAATAACAACTTGATGGTAGGACATGGTCAAAATTAAATCACAGAGGCATCCCACTACCCACACAGACAGTGCGGACGTGCAACAGAAAATATGAAGCCTTGTTCAATTAGGAAATTCATTGTAGCGTCAACTAACTAATTTCTCAAAGGAACATGTTCTGTGTAAACAGACTGCATCATTAGCAATGAACAGAACACGACTTACTCAAAGAATGTTGAGACTATGTAAATAATATGAAGTGCACAGACAAAACTTTCTGAACTTAAGACCCTTGCTTTGCGGCACAAATCTATGCAATGTGTGCATCGAGCTAAGTGAGGGAAGAAGACTCACAAAAGCAGCACTCTTGAATCAGGAACACAGGCCAAGGACACATTGTATCGGGCTTTCTTTTTAATCACTCAAGCCACGAGTAACAAGATTGTCATGAGCCGCATGAAGCTTCAGTGGATGGTACACCGTCAGAGTTCGTTGGTGCAACAAACAAAAAAACACCAAGGCTGGCAGCGTGAATATTCCCGACATAGAAGAACGCTTGCCAACAATTTAACTATGCATCGCAGACAAAGACAACGAGGCATTCAACGACAGGCTTTCCAGAGCCCGGACTTGGTCCAGCACCACTCACGTCGATTAGGTCGGAGAGGTCGTACACGTAGTACTTGTGCAGAGCCGAGTTGGTGGCCTCCAGGTGGAGGAGGTACTCGTTCCGTGCCTTGGTGGCCTTCAGCTTACACTCAGCGTACTTCTGCTGACGCTGGAAAAGGACAGAAGACACGTGGAGTGAGATGTTAATCCCCCCACTGCTACCCCACACCAGGGCTAAACCAGATGCAAATTGTGGCGTTAAAAACTACAGCGGTGCAAACCCTTCGTTTTAAAAAGTGGCCCATAGAAAGGGAAAGTCAGATAACTTTCTGAGATCCCTTCAAGTGACCTCCTATCGACATACTTTAGGCCTCTGCACTTTCCTACACACCCTTCCTTCAAGAAGGTAATGATCATTGCATGGCAGTCAAACCGATATTTTGCCTTCTCAGACAGATTTGAAATTTATATAAATCAAGCGCAGAGCCAAATTTAACGTGATATTTTTGTGCAGTCATTGACGGCTGGGCTAAGGCCGTAAACGCATTACACTTGAGAACCCGTGCTTGGTTTGAACCTAGGAACTCAGTAGTTGCCTGCTCAGTGCCCTGACCTCCAGAGCCACTGCTCTGCAAGAGTTCCGAATGGATTCTTCTTCACCTGAGGACATGACACTGAGAGCAGTATCAGAATAAAATTGGGGTTAAAGGGGAGAAAAAAATATCATCGGGGAAAAAGTACATGACCATTAGCCATAATACTATATACTTTGATTAAACATGTTGTTTTGCTCACAATACATGCATCAAAGTTCGTGTTAGAATCAATAATTTTGGTTTCATGAAAATATGTATTGCATTTGGTTGGGGATTATGGAGTGACTTTGAATAGGGTAAAAAAAGTGAAACACTGTGTATTTGAAATAACTTCCTGCCAGGTTATTATACAATCTAAATAGACTTCCTGCATGTTTATGATAAACTGTAAACAAAACTCATGCCTGTTTATTATGTATTACCAAATCTAAAAAAACGTACACATATGTTAAGTATCCACAGAATATATTTTCTGTGTAAAAGATAAGTTGAAGACACAAACAGGGTCATCTTTTAATAAAATTAAGGCATTTTAAATGAGCCTTTACATTGAACTTTGGGTTTCCCAATAACATCTGGTAACCCAGAAGCATATGTTTAACAAGACTGAGACCTAGAGGGTCAAAACTGGTACAGAGTTCACTTGCTTAAACACATTCTGCTCAATAATATTCGTCCGGAAAGTTCAAGCGTGATCGATTAAAACACATGTTTAGTTCTATGTGGAGATATAGGACAGAGTTTTGCTTATATATGCTTTTACCCATAGCGCTTCATAACACATGAGTTTTTATCCAAAATTGCTTATTAATACTGCTCAACAATTGCCTAAACATCGCATTTGGACAAAATATAATGACATTTTCTACTAATAAAGTATGTAGATAAATACAATACTCTGGCTCAAGCTGGCTACGAAGCATAACCTCAAACAGCCAGCCAGCCAACCACCCACATGGCTACGCACTGAGCACTGCAATCAGTAGGTTGGTCAATTCCTGCATGGTGTAAATTAGACGTTAAGGTAGGCACAGCCACAAACAAGTGTAAGCAACTCAGACCCTATAAACATGCAAACACCTATCGATTACATCAACGTCTCTCAAACCTCAGGGTTGTGGTGCTCTATAAACGTGCTGGGAAAATGATTATCACCATGTGAAAGGCCTCGGCCCCATATGTTATCAGTAAAGTCAGGAACAGCTTGGCATTATTTTCTCCCAAGCCAGGAAATGCCATAATGACGTCACTTGTGACCACACTATCGTGTGAAGTCTCCTTTCAATGCAAAAATGTGTATTGTTGTGATGATAAGATTATCCAGACATCACAGCAAGCCATGATTAACTGCAGTTACACATGGCTGGGTGGTTGGATAGATGGATGGCTGGGTGACAAGTATATTATTTGTCTTAGGGGATGGATGATTAAGTGGTAAAATGGCTATATGACTGAGAGACAAGGCAACTAAGTGACAGGGTGACTTGGTGACTGATTAACTGGACTGGCTGATGAAATAGAATGGATGCTGGGTGGCTGAGTGGCTTGATAGCTAGGTGGCTGGATTAAATACTAGTAGGGTAGTTGGGCAACTGTGTTGATTGGATACTGGGCAGTTGGGTAGCTGTCTGTATGTATGGCAGAGTAGCTGTGTAGATGGGATGCTGGGTAGGTGGGGCAATGTATATGCGTATGCACAAGCATTAATAACAATGCTCAGATACCATGGCAAGTGACGATTAAGAGTAGTTATACATGACTGGTTTGGTGTATTGGGTGACTGGGTGCCTGGGAGGCTAGTTGATTGAGTGACCAGTGTGCTGGGCTGGGTGGGACATTGTTTGTGTAGCTGGGTGGCTGAGTGGAATGGAATACTGGGTGGCTCGGTGGCCGAGTGGCTCAGTATTTGGATGGCTGGGTGGCTGCTAATAGTCTTTGTGCCTGGGTATGTGGGTGACTGATTGACTGTGTGGAAAACTGGTAGGCTAATTTGGCAGCTGAGTTGACTGGATGCTGGGCAGCTGGATAGCTGTCTGTATGGGCAGCTAGGTAGCTGTCTGTATGGGTGGCAGAGTATCTGTGCGGACAGGATCTTGGCTGGGGAGGTGGGAGCATGTGCAGGTTCGAGCATAAAGCGAGGCACCTTCTCCTTAAGCTTCTCAATCTTGCGCACAGAGCTGCGCCGTGCCCCACGCTCATCGGGCCGTGCCAGCCCCAGGCCGACGGCGCCGGTGTCGCCCGTCTTCCCCATCTGCTTCTCTTCCTGGCGCTCAGCCTCGCGAAGCTTCCCCGCCGCGCTCATGCTCTCCGTGTTGTACATGTGGTACGTCTTCATTGCCTGCACGAGTCAAGTCGAAACCTTGTTAATTGATCATCGCTGGGACGCTCGGCCATCGACACAACACTGCTGTGGGAAAATATACATTTTTTCATCCGACTTGCGCGAACGTGTGCATGACAAAGTGAGTAATAACGATTGTTGAATAACTAGGCCAGAGCCCCAATGAGATGAAATGGCTCTTTAACAAGACACGCATTAGAAAGGAGCAATGTTACATCCTGAAATATGTATGTTATGTAGTCTGTATTTAGAATTTACGTTATATACTATATATTTTTCATATTGACGGTGGAGCCACAGTGCAGTGATCAGAGCACTGTGCTTTGCACCCAGCCACAGCTAACATCAGTGGAGAGTTATATTTGAACCAGTCCTCTATCTACCCCCTTCCCCCCACACCTTCACCAACCCACACTAACCAGTATGGTGAAGTATAGTAAAACTACTCACATGATCAGATGCAGTGTGGAAAGGTCTGGATCAAGCAGTAGCTTCACAAAGGGATGTTTTAAAATTATCATTATTACAGCATGTACCTCACCTACAGGAGAAGTCTGCATAAACAATTCGTACTTCTTCATTTTATTTCCTTATTTTAAGTGGTATGGCCCTACCATGCAGTGATACAACATCTTTCATGCAATATAAACAGGCCACAAACTACTCGGGCACAATAAAAAGTTTTGCAAGATAGACCTACATATAATCAGCAATCATCATCAGCCAAGATCATTCAACTGCTGGTTGCAGGCCTCCCTGAGCTACCGTAACATCTCCAATTTCACGTGCTATAATAATTCATTCTTGTACCTGCATACGAGTTGGTCTTCTTTCTCCAATATTCTTTGGTCTTTCGGTAAAGTCACGTATATAGGTTAAAACAAAATAATAAAAAAACTCTTTGACGTTTCGATCGCAACACAAGCGGTCGTCATCACCTGATGACGACCGCTTATGTTGAACCTATCTACGTGACTTTACCGAAAGACCCAAAGAATATGAATTCCTGCAGTAACGAAAGCTTTAAATCAAGATTTTATTCCTCCAACTCCACGATGGATGTACCCTCTGGCATTTTCCCTCCTTTAGCTGCCATTGCTCATAATCCCTTCTCGTGACATTTCCTGTCCAAGCTTACTTACTATTTTAATAGCCAAGATAACGTTTTTAACTCGTGTCTGTCCCAAATCCATGTATCTCCTTCTGTTTCTTAATGTAATTCCAAGCGTGCGTCTCTCCATGCATCCTGGTGCATTTTCAGCGTTCTATTCCCCATTTCCTTTGTTCATTGTCCATGTTACCAATCTATGTCATAACATGTAATATTACACTGATTAACATTTTATTATTTTGGAAAAGAACTCAATTTCAAATCATGACGTCTTCATTTATAATTAACAATCATCCTCTTACTTTAAATCTGATCAAAGGCCATCTGTTTTAAAGACCTGGCTTTAAATGACAATGACAAACTCAAACATTAACCTCTCTTACCCATTTCCACCTCAAAGTTAAGTCACATGCAAGCATTCACAGTCGTGGCTTTTGGCACACGACTCTGCCTGCAGCTTTGTGTTTGAATCAGATTAGACGGCACATATAAACAGGACAGAAGTTTAAGCTGGCAACGCCCTATCCCTCCACCGTGCCTGACTTAACTGCAGTTTAAGTGGAGCTTTGTGAGCCGAAACTCACAAACGTGAAAGGAATTTCTAAACTCAACGATGATTTTTATTTATTTTATTTGTATGTTTTCCAAAAATTTAATTTTGGAGTGTACTATACTGATAGTACAATCGAAAAATAACTCTCAGAGCGGTGCATTACTCTGCACAGATCAACCTCCGAGATTCCTTCAAATGACTCCTGTTTGACACAATCAAGGGTGACGCTTTCCCATCCATTCTACCATTGATATGAATGTTCATCACATGACAGCCAACCCCAACATATTTAATAGTCATAGAACTGATCCAAATTGAGCACAAAGCCTAATTTAACATGATGGATTTCCAATGTTGTCATTGGTGACTGGGCTGAGATGCAATTTTGTCAAAATTAGCACGTTTAGCTTTTGCATCCACAACATGCACATTAGTTGAAGCCAACCAGTGATTTAAATAGCGGAAAGGTGAATAACATTGTCAGGTTTTCTGGCCGCATACAGGGACACGCTCGGCGCGTGTCTGTGTGTGCGAGACGAAGAGGCTGCCCCGTCATTCCGACAGTCATGTAGCTGCGCGTTTCGCGGCAAACTAGTACTACACACACAACACTCTGTATCTTGCGGCACCAATCATAGAACCCAGAGCGGACTCCACACTCCGCTTAGGCTGGCGTGCCAACAACTCCGCGAGGCTGGCGTGACCACCATTCAGAAAAATTAGGGCAAAGGCGCATTTGTTTTTTTGGTGTGCGTTTCGTTTGTTGTCCTTCCCAATGAGCACGGTTGGCTACGTACGGTGCGAAAGAAGTGCAACATACATACGTGGCAATGGCAATACGTTGTGCTCGTTAATAATAATTTGGTGATATTGTCATCCTTGCAAGTTTAAACATGGGCCAAAGGAAGTGCTTTCTATTCTACTCTTGCGTATGGCAATATGCTGAGATGTAAATGCCAATGTCGAGGCCTGCTAGCCATGAGAGGGCTTTAGGAATTACAGTTCATGCAGTTTTGCTATTCCACTGGAGGTGGTGTGGTATATAGTCAACGTTCCAGATAATTGTGTATTGGGTGTATTAAAGCATGATAAAATAAAAACATGAATTATGTATGAGATTTAAGTGTAACATGCAATGATATGCAGAGAAATTCAGCAGCATAGAGCTGGAGCTCGCATGATGGAAAAAAGTGACGCCCGGTAAAAGAGTGGTCACGTGACCTTTGAGGCCCCATGATTGATCAATGGGTAATGTATACCGCTAAACCCCAGCACACATTTTTTTTGTTCTTTTGGAATAAAAACAAAACTTTTTTGAATGAATACATTTTTTTAAAGATTCTCATTGGTAACATTTCTCAGGTTCATAATAACTAAATTTGGAAGATATTCTTGGGTCTTTCGGTAAAGTCACGAAGATAGGCCCAAAGAAAATAACAAAAAAATTACAATAAACTACGGCGTTTCGATCGCAACACTAGCAATCGTCATCAAGAGAAAAAAAATTGCAGGAAAGCTGCTGAGGCAGGATGTTTTAAAGGTTTGAAATGGGTGTAGCCCAAAGGCCATAAGCGAAGTGGGCGGGGCTAGTGATGTTTAAAATAAGTAGTTATTTTCGACTCTCTGGTTTTACATTAACAGGTTAAATGTCCTTACATGAATAGGTTAAATGTCTCACTAACACAGCCACCATTGGTCGTTTTCCTCGATGTGGCGGTGGCTCTGCGATCTTACATTGACATGCTAATCTCTCACAATACAATGGCCACCTCCGCAGCTTCGTCGTTGTGGAGGTAGCTTTCCGATATAACATTTACATGCAAATTTCTCACTTTAACATCACTAGCCCCGCCCACTTTGCTTATGACCCTTGGGCTACACCCATTTGAAACCTTTAAAACATCCTGCCTGAGCAGCTTTCCCGCTATTTTTTAGATCCTGATGAGGGGATTGCTTGTGTTGCGATCGAAATGTCGTGGTTTTTTGTTATTTCTTGTTATTATTCTTTGAACCTATCTACGTGACTTGACCGAAAGACCCAAGAATATGAATTCCTGCAGTCACGAAAGCTTTAAGTCTAAATTTGGAAGAGTATTTCAAAGTGAAATAGTTTTACAACATTGATCGTGAATACTCAGAACTTCAAGGTAATGTTGCTTCTTACCACCTGGGAAATACATTTGACTAGCATTGAGTTAAAATTGGCAGGGTAATTTACACCAAAACACTATCCTGGAGTACTGTACATAGTGCATGCACATTATTTAACCACTGTTGTTATTTGCCAATCCATTTTGTCTGGGGACAAACTCTGCCTCGAAGAAAACATTTGAAGATCCCTTCAATCTTGAATTTAATAACAAATTGTAATAAGGCAGCTTTGTGTTTGCTTTTCTCAGAGCAGCTAAATATATAGACATGCAAATGGCATTTCTGCACATCACTCGCGAGAATTTCCTCTAAAAGGTCTCAAGTGCAGCCGCTACTATAGTAAATATCACAGGTGGAAAGCACAATGTGGCTTCTGGAATTGGCATCGAGCCAATCACATTTTCTCGTACAAGTGACATATCTTTATTTGCTTTTGCGGAACAGCCAACTTAAGTCAGTTTTTTGGAATGCAGTGAAGTCACTTCCCATTTTAAAGGATTAATTTGATAGACAAGGGAGATCTTCCCAGAATTTTCCCAAGGGCATCGAGGTGCTATACCCTGGTTTGCCAGAAGGCGGCAGAGCAAAATGTGGACTAATATTTTTTCACTTTTGTATGAAATTAAAATCAAACTCTTTATTAAGACCAGAATAATCCAATGAGATTCGAAGTTCTTTTTCACAGACGTCCAATAGGTGGGGAAATCAGAAAGTATGGGATAGAGTGTTTCCCCGTTGCACCTGTGGGTTTTCACTGGGTGCTCCGGTTTCCTCCCACATGCATATACATTCATTAACTGGTTGAAAATATCTTAATATATAGAGGATAGTGGCACTTGGGCAATTGTTAGCGCTGGCTCAACGCCTGGCTGCCTTTCCCTCTCGTGCGATTCCTCCCGCCTCTTGAGCCGTTCCCTTTCGTCGAGAGTGAATGAATAGTGCGGTGTGTTACAAGTTAAATTTCTAATTATTGTTGTTTATCCTTGTACCTCAACCACAAACCAATTGCCCGATTCTCTCCTGTAGGACCCCTTGCCCATGAATGCAGAGCTTTCCAAAGCACCGCATGCTCGAGACAGGAGCAGCACTGAACGGGTTAACCTCACCGCCGCTGATGAATGGTGTGTTGGCAGGTGTCGTGGCGCAGTGCTGTTGGAGTAACATTTACCGTGCTGACATCTGTGAACACTTTCAGGACCTCTTCTTGCACTTGCTGGCCAATCTCCCGGCTCTTTCGCACAAAATACACACGGGCACGTGCACACACACGTACACAAACAAGCATTAGTGCATGCTGGCTATTTGTCACTCAGAGATTTGCATGATAGGAATATCTCTTGATTCCGTGCCACTGAGACTTAAACAATGGTGATAAATATAGGAGTGAAAGTGTAATCTATTTCAGATTTGACTTTCTATAAATGTTATCTTCAAAACACAACATGCAATGCAAGCAAAATTAAGCTCATTTATATGATTGAACAGAAACAAAATATGTGCACATGCACATTCTACAGCACTTTGTTAATCCACTGCTGGATCGGGGCCTCCCCACACCATGCAGGTCACGGGATTATTTAAGCATACTGCACCATGATGGTCATTGCAGATTGAAGGTGGAGAGCATAGGATGTTAGCACATAGCAGTACAGAACAACAATGAACATTTCTGCACTGCCCTCTGCTCCTCGCCATGTAGCTCCACAGGATATAAAAACGTGCCGGTCACCGTCCACTATTCATGTTGAAGTCTGCTTAGCTTCTAAGATCTGACAAGAACGGGCAACTTTAAGGTAATTTAGTCATTGGCGATTAATAAGTGTAGAGTATGTAGTAAGGTGAATATAATTGGTCAAGCTGATTTCATTAAAATACATTTTTTTGTCATTTACAAGGCTACGCCCATAAGGTTGTTCACAACAAAGTATTACTGCATGCACGTGTCAGTGTGTCAGCGTGCACACATTCAAAATATAAACACACTGCAGAGCAAAAACTGCATTCCAACATGACGAAGAGCAATTACGCCTTCGCTTAAAAAAACACGTAAACTTTAAGAGTGTGATTATAGGTTGTGAAGAATAATTAACTGCACTGTAAAAATAAATAAGCATGCATGATAAAAGAAAACAAATAACTGGTTACAATCCCATAATTGGAACGCCGAAATTTAGATTCTTCACCGATTGATTGCGATATTAAAAGAGTTTTTCAATCGTGCGAATCGAGCCCTGTGCAATGATTATGACAGTAATGAACATGATAATGACCTTTTAAGCAGCACAGCCTATTGGCTCTAAACCAGCTAACATTTACAATTACACTGTAATGGATATACTTAAAATGTACTTGACTTTCAAATCAGCACGCATCGCTGTATTCTAGCCTGCATCGCCGTAATAACCGTAGCCAACTTGATAGCGTTTTACGGTCATTACTGAAGAAGATTGTGAATATGAACTTGCAATGCAGATGTTGGCCTTTGGAACTTTAAAACAAAAGTGTATCCAACCAGATTATTCCAGAAAGAAAAAAAAACTGCAAGTTTTTTCAGCTGTGAGCAACTCTCTCACAGGTGCATGCGTTGTAGTGGAATTGTTCAATCCCAAATATTTTTCTTAAGTGCCTCGACATTACAAAGTTTGCTTAGTGTTTTCTAAGGTTTCTGATTACTGTAATATTGAGTGTGCACACCAGCTGCTGTTTAATAATACACGTGCCATTAGTGCCTGCCCCATTAACGGAGCCTCCTGCCAGTGCAATAATTGCTTTGTCAACATACAGCTGTGCCACTGCAGCCTTCAGTGGTGCATTCCTTGCGTTGCGTTGGGCCACACCGAGCCTCCCAGCAATGCTATGCTTCCCCCTCCAGAATGTGATGTATGCATTCCTGGCATTAATAAAGCAAAGCGGGTTAGTCGTAACAGCATTTTTATTATTATTATTATTAACATAAAGATTAGGCTCATTGTTGACATGCACGAGTCTGCATATTTGTTTTTCGATGCCCAGCCTATCACTCAATGGTTAAAGCTATGTTTAATGTCTGCCCTGTGTGCTGTGTGTAGTGTAGAGGACCACCTAAATATGCACACAATAGGGCCAAATAGGCCAGAAAACAAATTACCCTGAATGTGCTCCAATTTAACCCAGTTCTCAGAAGGCAAGCAGCCTTGAGCCTGGTTAACACTGTTATTGTATGAGAAATGGACTGGAAATACCAAATACTGTCATATTGGCTTAAGGTAACCAGATGATGGCAGTAGAGCAATGGATTCTTGAATCTGTGTGGAGCTTTGAGTGTGATTCAATTGAATGCATGACATTTAGCCAGGTAATCAGGTTTAGCACTCCCATGTGAAGCCATGAATGTAGTTGGCCAAATGTAGCAATGCAGGACCTTGATATAAAAAACCTCAAGAATCAATGAAGCTTAAGACACCATGATAGTTCCCTAAAGATTGTCACTCATCGGAGCACGCTTGGCTACGTACAGTCCGAAAGAAGTCCAACGCATATACATGTTCAACATAGGAAAACAACAAGGCATGAAAATAACCTCCATTAAGCCAGAAATGCATGACAAAGCAATGCTGGGACCTTCACAACACGTGGTGCAGATGCTACTCCATTTACTTCAGTGATATTTGTCTAAATTGCATGATCGTTCGAAAGCTCAATCACAGCCAACACGGAAGATGAACTGCTCACTCACCTAAGGCTCAGAAACGGCGTAGTCTCTCTTGCATTTGCTTTCTTTCATATAAAAGACTGCGTTGGGGCGATCGCGTTTTCAACTCCATGAACGCTGGCTCAATGGTGAGCAAACTGGCCCATGATATTACCCAGCCATCTACAACGTTATCCAAACTAGAAGCGACAGCTACACAATGGCAGCATCAACCGCACGAGTTCTTAGTAAAAAAAGAATAGTAGCCCCATATAAGTCCCTGTACTTCTGACCCAATGACAAATTGTTGAGAAGCAGAGCGGCGGTGCCCTGGGCAGAGACGGAGAGTTATACATTCTGAAAGGCCGGCATGGAAGCTCTCACGTTCATAATGCTAGGGCATCACAATGGACAGGGATGATATGTGATAAGCTTGAAGGTCATTTCCGCTTTATCAAATAACCCACAAGGACAACCCCCGAGTGAAAAGGATGGTGAGAATCAGCGGTCACAAAAGCAACTACACTTTACAACTCAATAAATTACGTGAAATCTTCCCAAAATTTTTATCCTAATTCGTGCTTCATTGGTGTCGTATAACGAGACGAAAGTATGCGTTCAGATCTCTCAATGGGCAGCAAAGCCCTCCGTGTCACAGAAAGGCATATGGAAAGCAGATATCACAAAGACACCTCTTGATATCCCTTCAAATGAGCTTGGTTCCTCCACACAGTAGTGGGCACCATTTTCTCACCCAATCTGCCACTCGAGAGTAATATCCGTCACATGACATTCAAACTTATATTTAATTCACAAACCCTGGAATTTAGGTTAATCTCAGTGATGCCAGTTTAGTACTCCGGCCTCTAAAAACCATTTGGTCACCTCGTACACCTCAATACTTAATCGGTGAAGCTAGCATTTTACACAAACGTGCTTGTAACTGCATATTCTTTCCTTGATGGCAGAACAAGAATGTTTCACTTTCAAAAATAATTTCAGTAAAATAATTTTGCTGTTTGCAAGAGGTTGCTCCCATCCTCGAAAGTAGATAGAAATCTGGATGCTAACGGATTCGCTACATTTTACAGTGCAGGTGGCTCACAGCCTCACACATTAGCTCCACCTCCTCAGTGGCAAAATATTCTTAGGTGCACCTGACGACAATCTCTAATTGATTACTAATGACTGCAAAAAAACCTCAGAATTAAACAGCCAGTTATAAAACAATTAGCAATGCCAATCATTCAATTACCCAGGAAAGCCTCACTGAAACTTAAAGATGGCTCTTTCGGGAAGGTCTTGGTGCCAGGGTGTTTGGCCATTTCCATTGATGAGTGTTTGGCTTCATGTGCTAAGAGACAGGAGTAGTCAGAGAAAACCCACATAAGGAGGTGACACGCAACACTGCCATCTCCTCGTCACCTCGCCGCCCCAGACTTACAACACCCGGTAAACCCTGGTTGATGATCCCTTTTCGTAACCAACCTGGCTAAAACACGCTTTAGTTTCTGAGATGTGTCAAGAATGTGTACCTTTATGGTGATTTAGTTGCAGCGATAAACAACACTGCATGCACTAGCAGCGACCTCACTCAGCCCCTCTGGAGGAAGCATTCAAATACATATACACTGCTCCTGGTACAATTAAGCAGTTGGTATAATTGTTAGGGTTAAAGGGAAGAGCACATATGTAAAATGCCAGAACAATTGATACAGTCCTAGCCTGTCCTGAGCTGTAAAATTGTATTGCTGGACCCTTCTACTGTGATGATCAGAACTGAACATAAGACAGCTGCTCACAAACCGAATTAATGATTATCACGGCAATTAATTCACTCAGCATGTTAATAGACAAGATTTGTATTTTGTTTCCTTCGCATAGCAGCAAAATACAATTTGTATTTACAAATGTGAAATTGCAATTTGATTTGTATTCATATAGCTTGCAAGTAAAAATGTAAGTTATTATACTGTATAAATGTAGTGACCACCATCACATATATTCATATGGGGTGCAGTGAGGGAGTGCTGTCTATAATTCAGCCTGACACTATTTTATAATGTGCGACTTGGGCGAGCCGTGTTTAGGTTTTGCGTTCGATTGTCTTAATGTTGAGATGCTATGTGGATTTTGATTAACCTAGATTTGTTATTAAATTTCCATTAGACTTGACGTAACTTGGAGCATAAATGCCATTCACAGTACGTGACTAGGGCGATCAGGAAATGGAACACGGGAAAACAGAAAAGGACATAATAACATTGGTTTTGTTTATAATATTTTTTTAATATTTAAACTGCTATGGAAAGCAACCAGATAAGAGCACTTAACCCAAGCTGAGATTTTTCTTATTTTGTTTGGAGAAAATGAAAAGGATAACACACCCTAAGTGGAGAGGTCATAAGAATTGTTTACAGTCGCCTTAAATGTTGGACGATGCACACTACAAACAAAAGTCAAGCTCTAATAGCGAAAAGGTCAAGAGGATAGGATGCACCCTTCAATGCAAGATGGAATGCAGCTGTATTCAATGCTTTACTCAAAATCCCTACAACGTTTCACAGCACCAAGGCGGCTCAGCCGTTCCGTGTCTTGGCATCCAAAAAAAGCAAAGGTAACGATGGCGGCTACCTCACAATGTCGCGTTCAAACGCTGCCTCGTATTTACCCTTAGCTGTGCAGATGTCCTGGCTATGCATGCATGCCAACTCTGTGAACGCGCCCAGGCAGAAAATGTTTCCAGTTTCGTATGCAGCCAAAACCCCCCCAAGCAAAACAAAGCCCGAGTAGCATTCTGCTTCTCACAGCACATCGTGTTGTCCCTATCGCAATTATTTTCCCCTTGTGGACTCAGTTTGCATTATTCCCCTCTTACAGAGAATAGCACTCAACAAAAAAGGCACCTTCACCAAAATGCATGAACTTAAAGTCTGTACAAACATGAAGGTAGAATTCATCATTCGTGTATTATTGTGATCACTGCTGTCGCTGCCAAATAATTCTTGGATGTTAATAACGTTGCAGGACAGGGCAACCTTAAACGGTAATCCTGGGTCAAAATGTCCCAAAGCATCAGATCGTAATCTATCAAGCCTCTGACCCATTTCGCTGGGCTAAAAAAGGTGGAAAGTAGATGTGTGTGCGGATGACCAATCTTATTGTTCTGGTCACAATCACTGAAAAGAATAAATCAGGAGTAAAATTTTACTCAAAAGTGAACTAACAAAAGGTAAAGTAGTTTGTCCTTGGGGAGAGCCGGAGGCGGTAGAAGCCTAGCCAGGTTCATTTCGTGCTTTTCTATCCACATGGGGCGACCCAAAATAATCTGGGACATCAATGAGTGACATTATTCCCATTGGGCTTCCTGCAAATTATGTACAGTAGTAGTATATCATTTTTTGCTAAATCCCTGTGAGCATGACTGGAGTAGCCAGCTGCGTCCACAAGATTTGTTTTAATGAAAAACACCTTGGGAATAAAGATAATGAAATAGTAATTTTAAGAAAAGAACGAGGGCTTCTGAAGTGTTCATGAAATTAGTGGTACGGGCAAGAGGGCGTCTCAGTCTGCGAGAATGCAAACTTGGCATATGCACATTACTGCAGCGAGCCATCAGTTACGTGGAACATATTTAAGAATGCAACGACAAAGCAAAGGACATCAATCCCATTGCAAGACGCAAATGCTTGAAAAAATAAGGACACTTGGCATTGATTAGTATCTCATGCTTAGAATAAGAAAACTCATGTTATTTTATTAGCCCCTTGTAACTAAAAAAATACACTGTTTAATGCAAACAGTTTGACAAAACAATTAATGCAAATTCACGTTATTTATCAAAACATTGCAAATAAGAATTAACCTTGGCAGCATAGTTAATGTTTTTAAAACATAGGTGTTGGTCACAGCGGTTGTATTAATCTGACCCACGTTTTATCATGTCTAAAGAGATACGGTTGAGGCAATGCTTGAACAATGAATGAAATTCCAAGGACAAATGGACTAAATGCAATGGGAAATACAATTGCGCTCATAGAAAAATAGGATAATTAGGCGGGTACTTGTCATGTACAAATAAAAGGGAGGACCAGTAACTGAGTGGTGCATGATCACCTGATAAATTTAACCAGAGCAGATTATACATTTTTCTCAATTTTACTCCAATTGTGCCATCACTGCCACATCAGGAGATAAGTCTCAATTCGGACCTCTTGCAGAGCAGTAACAGCACCCTCCAAGTAGGATAGTAGCCTGAAAAAGGTGATATCACAAAACTTCTTCTGTGATCTCAAGTGACCTTTTAACCCACACTAGTTGGCAGTTTCCTACTTAGCTTACTGCCAAAGTGCATGTTCACCACATGGCAGTCAAACCAATATTTTTGTTTAATTCTCAGAGCTGAAATTTTAACAAATGACGAAGGCAGGCTGAGACCATTATCTCGTCATGTATGTATGTTGAACTTTGGCACTGTACGTAGCCAACCGTGCTAATCGGAGGTGCGGAGAAAGGACAACTAACCAGAAACAGTAGTTCACACTTGAGAAGCCATTTTAATCACAGGCTGTGAATCCCAGAATAAAAACCCAGGATCACAGCGGTGCCAGCTCAGTCATCCGACCCCTGACCCACCCAGCCACTCGGCGGTAACTTTAGCAGCTGGAATTATGGGATGAGCATAGTACCTTCTTGAGGAGCCGCGTGGAATCTTCCCCTATCTGGCTGAAGCGCAGGACCAGGTTGTTGAGGTAGATGTCGCTGATGGCGGAGTGGTCTCGGCTCTCACGCCGCGTCTGGTTCAGCAGCAGGTACCAGCAGTTGACGGGTGACAGCACGCTCTGCTCGCGCCTGTCCAGCACAAATACAAAGGTGTTACGGCGTGAAGTACACACACTCGGTGCTCACCACTCCAAGGAATTTACATGTATAGATAGCCCTTTGTCTATCCCCTACAGGATGGGGGCAATCGGGAGTTTAATTGACCATACTTTACCACGCTGGTCAAAATAGGTTGGTGAAGGGGGGGGGGGGAGGCGTAGATGTGGGTGGCATTCTGGATATTACTCAATATTCAAACTAGCTGTGTAAGCTCTAAACATTTTTATTTCTGTGTTGTACAGATTCGTAATTTATTTTCTATAAAGTTGGCTAAATGGTGAAAAGCGAGAAAATGTACCATTTGCAGACTTTAATAAAGGTCAATGTACACCACTCACACTGAGCATAACAATTTACACCAAATTAAGATCAACATGATAATCTGTACTGGGGATTCATACTCACAGAAAATTGCCAGCCAAGGCATGTAGAGAAAAAGCAATGTGACAGTATTTATAGTGGTCCACGTGGAATTTGAAATTAAACTCCACAGATGACTCCTTTGTGTGTCTGGTTTGCAAGATATGAAATAATTATAATATATAGACAAATAAACTTTGACATGCACACTGGACCTATCTGCTTTCAACTGCGAAATGCTGCATTTAACATAAATTAAGGCCGCTGCTAGACCAGACATTAATAACAATCACAGTAATATTAAACTTCAATATTACTTGCTATTAAGCATATAATGCTTGTGCCATTAAATGAGAGGAAAGGAAAATAAAAATGCAGCAGTACATAAAAGTGAGTAATGACGGGTCTAGTGTTTAGAAATTCACGAATAAAGAGAAATGCATTGGAGAGCTGTTTTTACGCAGTAGGAGTCAACGCTCATCATACCGATGTGAAGCGACGTTCCTGTGGTTTGTCAATTATATTATCAGCTTGGGAGTAATTCACAAAATGAGCATGGGCACACAGTTTAATTCCTAAAGTTCCGCCTTTGCTGCAAACCAGGCTGTGAGATGTGGAATCCAAACAAGACAGCGAAGAGGCACCACATAACTCCTCCCAGCACGTGCCCAACATTGCTTTCCCGATGCTAATGCAACTGTCAAATTCACTTCTTATTAAAACCGTATTAGGAGAATTGGCTAAATTATAATAGTGCTCTGTATGTAGTAAGTCGAGGCAGATGTGTTACCTTCATAAGTTAGCATGGTTGGCTATGCACGGTGTGCGAAAGAAGTTCAACATACATACATAGTTAGCATGTCGCACTATGAACCTGGAGACCCGAGTTTTATTCCCAGCCATGGCTAACATCAGAGTGTGATTTACACTGATTTTGGCCTCACCCTTAAACAACACGTTTTGACCAGCATGGTGAAGTATGGTCAAACAACCCCTATGACCAACAAAGTGAAACCTTAATCCTACAATAGATTGACGTAATGTAAATATAGTAGCCATTTCGCAATAGGTCGAGCCATCGATTTAAATTAAATCCTCTGCTTAAAATATAGGGAATGAAGGGTGTGTACAGTCAATAATATTTTTTTGTGATTAATGTTATATCAAGGCTAAAGGAGCAGACAAAACTGTATAAACACCGTGAAAACAAACAAGTAAAATAAACGGGACAGTAAAATATAACAATATATACTCAATTAATGAATAGACTGTTCATCTAATTCACAACAATTTCCTCAACTGCTGGAGGATGAAATATTCAAAACCCATAACATTGTATTGTATTACTTGTTCTTATACTTTTATATTATAATGTATTATACAGCTGAAAAATCAAATAGAATAACATCCAAATAACCTGAGCACAACTTCAAGTACAGTGATTGCATCAATTCATTGAATGCTTTTTAATGAAACGGCCCCATTAAGTGTTTCAGGATTAGAAGTACAGATTCTGCGAGGGCTCTTTCCCTCTCCAGACTACTTCGCGGCTGGAAGGAAGAGATCTTTAAAAAAAAAACACTTAACCCAGGTTTAGGTTACAATTGTGCTTATTACACTAAGTGAAAATCTCCTATTCATCCGTAGAGTTCAGCGAAGTGAGGAGCACCATTGACCGTGCATCCTATTTCCACATTGACCCCATAACGTCACGACCAGCTCTGAATGTAATCGGGGTAAACATGTGCAGCTCCGTGACGTCTGAAGGGAGATGCACTCCCAGCTATGAAAGTTACGCGACAGAGCTCTTAAGATCGTTTACCGAGTATCCTTGGCACTGGGTTGGTACAGTAGAATTGTCATGAGCACCTGGGCGGAATCGGCGAGCCTAGCTTAGTTTATGAACTGCGCTGGAACCCTTCTTAATGAGTCATGGGAAGGCAGCAAGATATATATGTGTGCACATAAAGCCTACAACAGAAAGGTAACAATATCGTTCAATACTACTGTATAATAGGTGGTGCCTCGTGTTATCTAAGCCCATGCATGTCCTAATGTATACTATGTTAGTCCAGAGGGCATGTTACACTTGGCTCAACATGAAATGCAACAAAACACCTGGCTCGTGCATATTCCAGGTTCTCATTTGCCCCAACTTGCATTCACCGGAGGTCCCTCCAACATCAGACCAAGGGCCTTTTAATGTATGCAGTTTTCCAAGAGTGCTTGATGACATTGCTGTAAGTTTATAATCTTAAGGACTTGCTAACATGACCGGATGGAGCTCATGATGGTGCTTAGAATATAGTTCTGCAGGCCCTTTTAAAAACAAAGTAGTTTGTGTGCGATGTAAGGCAGAGGCATTGTGGTACAATCTTGTACTCCAGAGTGTATTTTCTTCTACATTTAAAACTGGGGTGACGGAACCCAGTCCCCTACCTCACTGTACTTAATATAATTCAATGTAAAGCAGTAAGATTGATTAATGATCATCAAGCACTCCTGATTCACTAAAGTCACTCACTCACTGCTGCACAATAGCCTCCTTATCGCTACTAGAATGGTAACTGTTTCCACAACATTCACTCATTGATTCCTCATTGATTCCTGACTGTTTTTTCTCATTCATTCAGTGTTCAACAACCATACATACGGTAGGTCACAATGATTCTCTTTTTGCCTTTTCCCATATTCTGCTCGATTTAAGGAATTCCCTCCCATCGTCTATTTTTCCCGAGATTGTATAACCTTGCTCAATTTAATACGTATTAACTCGTATACCCTCAAGAGTGCCGTTTGTTGCTGGCCACTTGGCATTTTGGGCCTTTGGGCTTGTGTTCATTAACTGTGGTTTAAAGAAAACTGTTTAATTTGGTAACATGTGTGGCACATTGTTGACACAAAGCAGGATTAGATATGCACTTAAAGGTGAAAGATTGAAAAGAATATGGTATCTTATTTATTTAGATACAAAAGTATAAATTTAAATTACATACATTTACATGAACATTTACATTAATGTATATGATGGAATATTCAATTTCAAATGAAGACTGGCCCAAACAGAATTCATGCACCGTGAACAAATACTGCACGTAAAAAAACATCCTATACATGTACACAAACATACCCAGAAATACGATTTTACAAGACAACTTCAAAATGAAGACGATACGCGTTTTCAAAATCCTTGAAGGGAGAGATAATATCAACAGAGAAAAGCTTTTGATGCCACAACTCACAAGGAAATCTCAGGGGGGGCCCATCCACAATAATTAAAGCCAGAAACAGGCAAAAATTTTGAGCACTATTTATTTTCACTAAGGGCAGGCAGCGCATGGAACCGGTAACCACAATGCAAGCGCTGTGAAGTAACACACGTGTAAAACTTAACTCAAGAGTTACATTATTTAAATTATGGCTTTAGGCAACTTACTACAGTGTCTCACTGTAACTATAAAAATCTGAGCCACATAATTATGCACTGTATGTATTTTTTTATGCCAAAGGCATTGTCGCTGTAAATTGTAATACTCATTGCACAACAAGGAAGATATTCTTAGCTCTTTCGGTAAAGTCACGTTGAAGGGAAACAATAAAATATATATAAAACAATAAAAAAACAAGGAAGATGTTTACATTTCCTGTAATGCAGTACCATAAAGGGCTGTCAATCCGGATTCTAATGGCAGTGAAAATAGTTTTGTGTTGATAGCTTTTTAAAAAAAAAGGTTAAAATGGCGATAGTAAGGCACGCGTGTATTTTGTTTCTTCCAAAAAAAATACGATTTCTTATTCTAAAGAACACCAACTTAATGACCAATGGAAGCAATTAATTTGGCTGCAGTAACGACACTATGTTCTTTGCGGACCGGTTTAACCGGGCAGCTCTTATAGTAAACAATGCGCTGCTTCGGCATAACCAGTTCTGTTAAGCAAACGGCATTGGCCGGTCTTGGAAACAATGTCAGGGAGAATCTTCACTGAGTGCTGGGCGGGCAGAGTGACTTTCTGATGCCGTGCCAAAGAACAAGCGCGGGGGAAGGGGGATCCTAAATTAGGGCTGAGTGCTTGGCAGCAGGGAACTCGGGCCAAGCGGTGTGGTTGTCAATGTCACACCAGGGTAGCTCTACAAATGCAAGCCCTGCTCCCATGATTATAATTTCTCAGTCTGGCCTTGCACTAGAGAGATAGATTGAATATTCAGCTAAAATACTTGGTTAAATAGTGCATAAGATATAATATACACACGAAATATATTTTGGGTGGAATGGTTAGCACAATGATTAGTGTACTGCACAATGAATCCAGGGCCCCGAGATCAAACTCAGGTCGTCGAATTTCCAACTCTCTACAGACCACTGTGCCACCTTGGTCAAAAGGTGCCAAATTTTTTAAAAATACTCAACTGGGTAAAGCCACATAACATCGTCTCCTACTGGTGAAACCACTGCAGACGACACTCGTCTACGAAACACAGCCCATTTGCAACACCCTTGTGCTCTAAGAAAGGTGTGAATGCCAAGTGTGCTAATGACCTGATTATTTTATTTCGTCTAGCAGCTTAGCAATAAGTGTGATGACACGAGGAGTCACGGAGGTCACGAGGCGAGGGCACTGGGGGACAGGGTGGAGGCTTCACCTGAGTTGGGGATGATCGCGAGCGGCACGGGCGCGGCCAAGGAAGCGCTCGGCCAGGCGGTCCAGGCCCCGCGCGTACTCCAACTCCAGCTCCGAGCGGCGGCGGAAGAAGTCCTGGAAGTCCTGCAGCAGCTGCTGCCGCAGTTCTGTCTGCTGCTCCAGGCACTTGAGCTGCTCGACCAGCTGCAGGCGGATCTCTGTAAATCACAAACAAAGGCTTTCCGTCATGCACCAATATATAACCATCTTATATATACATAGCGCCTTCTTCTGGAAAACATTGGTCCAAATATGACATTGGTTGACGAGTCTATGTTGTTTAATTTCATTTTGATGGCGAGTCATATAACATTACTTCTTCTACTAGGTGATGGAGTGGTGGTGGTGGTGTAGTGGTTAGCATACTGTACTAAGAACGTGGCAACCCGGGTTCGATTCTTGGCCATCTTTTGCCAGTGATATCTGAACTAGTGCTAACCCATCTCCCTCTCCCCCCCCCAACTGCCAACCCTTCACCAAACCACACTGACCCGAATGGCTAAGTATGGTTAATAACCAATATGATCCAACACTGCATAGGGGACACCTATATCTAATGAGAACATTGAAAAAGGGCTGTACATTTACTAGTTATTACTCGCAAAAATCACTCAGGCATCGCATAATCTGTAACACGTTGCTGCACTACACTGAACAGCCTCCACAGTATTCGTAGAGGGCTCTTGCCTCTTGCATTCGGCAACCCAGCAGCATTTTTATTTTAAAAGGCCGCATTCCTGCAGATGAGACTCGGGGAAGTGAAAACTAGTTGATTTTTTTTGCCTAACTTCAAACAACACTGCTGGAAAATAATGGGAAAAAACCCGCATTGGTCGATTAACACGAGCGTTATTTTATTTCGGGAGAAACACATTATTGCACGTTTATAATTATTTTATTGTCCACACCCCTCCAAAGGCGAGAAACTATGGCGCAGTAGTAATTATTTTTAATTGAATCCTCCAAGACACCGTATAATGAAAAAGTTAGAGCTTGAATTTTTTATATTTCAATTTCTTCCAACTTTTGTTAATTACTAGACAGTGTAATCTCAAGCACTCCCCATTTGCTACATGCAAATGACACTTTTTCAATAGTGCTTGAAAGATTGCTTTTGAAGCAATGCATTATTTTTCCAAATAAATCAAAGCAAGTGCAAACAGAGCACCTCACCCTGTCAACTGTTAGAGGGTAATGACAATAGCCTGACATCAGCTGTAAATTATTAGAAGCCTTGCAGCGAACAGAGTTGGCAAGGAAATAACATGGTGAAATTCCTGTAATCCGTGGCGATGTGGGGGATGATGCTAGTGGCAGATCCAATTATCTGCTGAAGTAACAGTTGTTATCCGTGCAGATCTTCATCATCAGTAGCCATGATCTATCCACTGTTGAATTAAGGCTTTCCCCAACCGCCTCCATACTTCATGGTCTCGCAACACAACACTCCATCTATCTCCGGCAAACGAGTTAAATGCTCCACACCCTTTGTGTAAGTCCTTGAGGGGACATTCCACAGCGACCAGACATAAACTACCTGACCTGGTATGCAGGAGGTCGTGGGTTCGATCCCGAGCCTAACGCCTGTATATTTGTAGTTTGTGTTCTCCCCGTGGTCGTGTGGATTTTTCTCCGGGTACTCTGATTTTCCCCTCGACATTTTGAAACATGCGTTCAGAGTATTTGGCTGCTATGAATTTCCACCTAAGCCATTTCGTTGAGCTATCATTTGTTGCCAGGTCACGTCTGAAAAAGAGCGAAATAACTCAGTGGGGCTTTACCTGGTAAAATAAAAAGTGCCCTACTTTGGTGCCACTGTCATTAATCTCGAACACCGGCCATCATTCCTTTCAGCGACATATGTTGCTCAAGCCATTTAAATTGTCTCAAATGTCAAAATGGTGTTTTTATAACTCGCGTATGTTCTCCAATCCTGTATCTCAGTGTAGTCCCAAGCTTGCACCTATCTATATTTCTTTGTTCACTTATAAGCTTTTGTTCTATGTCCCCTTGTCAGTGTCCATGTTATGTCAAAGCAGGTGCAAAAGCTCAGATAATGGGATGACTTGAGTAGTTTCGGGAGACCACTTGCAGGCGATTCCCATCTGTGTATAGTCGCGAATAACAGGAATTTTTTAAATCTCCCGGTGCCTAAGCGAAGCTTGGGATAAGCACTGATTACCGAATGTAAAATGCCTACGGAATAAATGCACCCGATCTCATCAGGTCTCAGAAGCTAAACAGGTTTTAGCTTGGGGATAGTGAGTGAATGGGTGACCACCGTGCAACGAAAAAGTTGTGATAGGCCGCAGAGATATGTGGCGGACATCAGAGGGCAGTACAACAAGATCGACAGCTGCACTGCTCTTCTATGCTCTCCGCATTGTCCAACATTGACCAGCGGGGTGATACATGGTCAAATAACTCCTCCCCACGACCCGGATGGTGTGGGGGAAGCCTTCATCTAGCAGTGGAGTGACAAAAAGGGCTGCACATGTTTTGGTTTGCATATAACTGCATGAAAGGGGAAATCAAAGTTCCCGGGGGAAAAAGCACATATGGAAAAAGCCACACAAGCTGCACAAATTGGTCAATAAATTCATACACCATCTGCCGTATACAAGAAATGTATTGGACCGTGTACAATACTTTATAAAATACCTAAACTTTCAAAACAATAACTGTGCTTTCGATTTAAAGCTTTCGTGACTGCAGGGATTCATATTCTTGGTTCTCTCGGTAAAGTCACGTAGAAGGGAAATAATAAAAATGAAACATAAAATTCTCACGACGTTTCGGCCACAACGCAAGCAGCCGTCCTCAGGTGAAGAAACAGCGCTGTCGGCTGCTTGCGTTGTGGCCGAAACGTCGTGAGAATTTCATTTTATGTTTCATTTTTATTATTTCCCTTCTAAGTAACTTTACCGAAAGAACCAATAATATAATAAATGCGCTGTCACACGGTGGACAAAATACACGATTAAAGAGCAAATATCGCATAGGCTGCTCCTGCAAGTACACTACACGAGCCTTCATTTTCATTACGGAGTGGGGATCAAGGCTACTCATTAATCAGAGGAAAAGACCAATTAGGTCACGGTTAGCACATAATTGGATCTCATTCTGTCACATAGTCATAGATAATATCACATGGTCGTGCTGGTCAGAGAATAAGCTCTGCACTCAAGAATCCAACAATTCAAATATTTAGATTGAATATAAATGCAACTTGAATGTACTGTATTCATAATGTATGTGCAAATCCTTTTCTGTCCATGGACTCTGTATCATTAAGGACACTCGGCATGCCATTACACATTATACCAAGTACAGCATGCATTTGCTGTGCATTTACCAGCCAAATCTGCCGTGAATTAATCATCAGCTGTACTAAGTCCGGCTCTCAGAGCAAGACATTTCTAAATTAGATGGAGCCATGGAAACACAAATTATTCACGCTTCCTTAGAGCGCGTATGGAATAAAGCCAGACCTTTGGACGCAGGATGGGTTTGGATAAAGGAATTTATTTTTTCAACAATGACGAAACCAGGGTGTTATGGAAACACTTTACTCTGCTACTTTTTCAAGTTCAGAAGGGAAAAAAAACACTAAGACTGGGCAAGAACCACACTAGCAATGTCACCGTTAACAAGTTACAAAACAACTAGCATACAGAACAGGATGTTAAAACTACAGTCCTAATCTTACAAGGTCATTGAAATACAAAGCCTCAACCATGTATTCAGCAACAGGTGTTAAAACTCACCCCGTTTATTCATAGATTGGTGCAATTGAAGGTTGCAATTTTATTAAAGTATCAATCCTTTTTTTATGTCAGACGGGAGGGGTTCCACTCTCCCCACTTTTAGAGTTAAATAATAAATTTATTTCTCAAGTTATGGCCTCGGCACAGGAATGGTGCTCATTGGTGTGCAGCGAGCGTGCTGGAGGCCAACGTAGACATTGCAGTGGCTGTAGCGGTCTATAGTGGTTGTAGTGCTGACGTGAACCCATTACTTACAATATATACGCATTGAAAAGCATCGATTCCTACAACGCATGATTTGATGCACGTTTTTTGAGCTTACAGAATCGATATTAAACCTGTGAATTAATGCACAATTACTCCCTTACTAGGCAGGTTATCACGCTGCTCATCTCACGGGATAAGCAGTGTTGAGCTTGGATGGCGCTTGGATAGGTGACCACTATGCACTCTACGTGCAGAAATACGTGGAGGGCAATGCAGGAAAATCCATTGTTGTACTTATATGTGCGCTCCCACGTCTATGCTCCCTGCCTTCACCAACCCGCATTGATTGACCAGCGAGGCGACATATGGTCAAACTATTCCCACGACTAACAAAGCATTGGGAGGCCTTCATCCGGCAATGAAATGAGAAAAGTCTTTTACGTGTTCACACAATGAGATTGAACACATAACTCAAGGGCTGCTTCCCCTATCAGCTGCTAGATGTAAGCAACCCGTTGGCGGGTGAGCCACCACCATTAACACGCACAACGCACACTTTAATTCGCAAATCGCCAAGCATGTAATTAAAATAATCCTATCACTATAGTTGGCCAAAGAAATCTCCACAATGCAAGGGCCATGGCTTAAAATAGCGAACCAGCGGTTTCATCTATACAGTTATGTCAACACGGCGATTTTTTTTCCAGGGCCGGCAAGGGCCGTAGTTCACATTTCAACAGCATGGATGGCCAGCTTCAACGTTTGCCCATGGGCAACTGTCAAGCTCCATAAACATTTGTACAAAAAGCCCCTTCAATTAAAGCGGCGCGGCACAGCGAAACGAATGTCTGCGGGAACAATGTGTTTGCTGTATACTGTGTTGGTCAATGTTATTGTTAGGTACTCCAGGCTGAATGTATGAAAATATCAAGTTACGTGGCCCTTTGCCAGCACGGAATGCCAATAGCTACAGTCTTATTTGGCAAACAAAATCAAGGGACATTTCCTCTTCGCTTTGGCTTCTTGGTGAAAGAGCTCTCTGTTTTAGCGTATGGTGCTCAGTTACACAATTCGGTGTATTCAGCAGATAGATAAAGGGGATGTCGCGTGAAGCACTTGGAGACGTTTCTTTAAGCTGCATATTATGTTAAGGGCGGCGATTGAATTGCATAAACCAGGCACTG